TGCAAATGCAACCGATAAGAAAGCACTTTGGAACGAGACTGGACTCTAAAGAGGAGGAGGAAGTAGGCAAAGGCATGCGGTTTGCAGGCCGACTGGTCCAGGCTTTTTGACCATTTGAAAAGTTGTTCACTTGCAAAGATAGGGGATAGCTTGTTCTTATTCTCTTTAGGTCATGGTCGACTCGTAAAGTTTGATAGTTATAGGTTCACTTTGTCACCTATAGATTTCGCCTAAATGGGAAATTTTGGACTTGTTTATAGGAAACTGTTGACTTGCATCGGGCATGAGCCGAATGCTAGCTTCCAAATTGTATCCATCGGTCAAAAGAGTAGGAAAGAAATAATAGGGTTACCTTTATCTTTTAACTGATGAATCGATCAAATGAATCGATCAGGAGGAGGGAAGGACGAATCTACGAATACACCCAATTTGGTCCGATCTCATGCACGCGAGGCAATCGCCTTTTTTATGTTATTACCAAGTTTTATGGACTGGATTGACCAATAGGAATAAGAAAAGAATGCTTTCTAAGCAAGGTGGGACAAGAAAATGTAAGGAGATGTAGGATGTGCTTGTTTCGCGAAAAATAAATAATTTATAAAATATTTTCCTAAATAATGATTGTTTGTATCACTTGACAAAAAATAAATGAATGAAAAATATTTTCATTGCTAATGAAAATGTTTATACATAAATTGCTATTAATAATGAAATTATTCATTTTCCACGAAACAATTAGACTCGTAGCCTTTTGAAACACCTCTTCCGTACAACACATCGCCCTTTCTATTCTTTTGGATCACTAGGTGTCGAGTAAACAAGTTATATCCAATCCAACTCTATAGTTGATTCATCGGACAGAATCCAAGGAGACAACCTATATTTGTTCAAATCCAACCAATTATGTGTAAATTGCTTTATTTCATAGCCATCTCCATAGGCAAAATACCTCGACTTTACCTGTTCTTGGGCTTCCGGGTAGTCAAATCTCCACGGTCGTTCCCCTAGATAATTGAAAAAAAGAAAGAGAAAAAAGTGAACTCGAAGTTCTAGATTTTGTGCATGAAATGCAATCAAGTTTTACACTTTTTAATTGGTTTAATTAAATCATAAATCTTTTTTAGAAAGTACTGTCAAGTCCTTTTGACAAACAATACCTAAAATTCCCTACGTACTTCTTAAGATTCGCCTACATAACATCCTTAAATTACACTTTTCAGCATATTTTTTAGGACTCGACTTCATTTTTAAGTGAAGGTCTACGACTTAATTGAATCGATTGAAATGTTTATGACTCGGTTGTACTTTTGAGTGAAGGTTTAGGACTCGATTGAAACGACCAAAAGATTTATGACTCGATCGCATTCCGCACATAAGAATTAGGAATTGTGATACAATTTTTTCTATTAAAAAGTTATTATAACCCTTGGAAGTTTGAACGAGTCTCTTAAGATAATCAAACCCAATCATGTCCAATCGCATTGGAATGGTTGATGACTGCCATAATTGTGGTTGGCAAATGGCAGCTAAACAAGATTATAATGGAATTAGTCGTCAAGCCAAAGGAGTAATTAACATAGGGGGTTGGTCGCAGAGAGACTTCTTGAATGATGTGTTGAAAGAAGCTTTTGAATTTTGATGATCTGTGCCTTAACATTGTCCAGATTGTGCCCACATATTCTAATTGTGCATTCAATTCCACAAACGTCTAGGCTCCAAACAAGCTTGTTCGCATGACATGGTGGTTCCTGTCAAATTTTTACAAAAAAATTTCATGCCCGTGATATATTTTTATTTAAAATAATACCATGTGACCATACACTTGACCATTGTGTGGGAACGATTGTCAAGCGTTCCATAAATCTCTCATCTTTCCTTTCATGAAAATTGATATCATTTTCGGAAAATAGGTCAAAATCTCTGAACAATATTTTATTCTTCATTAGTTTGATTGTTTTCGCTATTTCTATCCGCACACACGTGCATGTACTCTTTTTCTAGTATTGTCTTGTTTTATTTTGTTTTCCTCTACTACAATAGTATAATGTCCGGAATGGGCTTTTACTTACCAGACAAAAACTCAATGTCTTCGTCCAACAAGGTATTAGCTCTCTTTTTTTTTGTCCTACTGTAACTCTCAACTCACTCTCAGACTTTTACTCTGCCTCAACAAGATATTAGCTTAAATGGCGAGAGATTTGCGCCTCACTTCATGGTCTTGGGTAGGGGGTGTCAATGGGTCGGGTCGGGTCGGATTTTCATGATACCCAACCCAACCCGAAACAATAAATATGTGTGCTTGGCCCGATCCGAAACAAGACCCAAACATGATATAGCCACGTGATCGGGTCGGTTCGGGTCGGTTCGGTTCGGGTCTCGTTTTAGATTTTTATTAAAATTAAGGTTAAGTTACACCTTGGGGTGTCAATGGGTCGGGTTGGGTCTAGTCTCCATGCTACCCGACTCGACCCAAATCATAAAAGATATATGGACTCTTGACCCGAACCAAACATGACCTGAAACGCAAAACCGGGTCGGGCCGAGTCGGGTTTCGGGTCTTTTTGGATTCAAGCTAATATTTGCCGATGTGACAATTGATTCGATGGTTGGTGCTTATTGTTTGTTTTATCTAAATTGACGCTTCCTATGTATCCCCAGTTTTCGTTGCCCTCGATTGCCTCTGAATTTCGGGATTCTGATTGCCTCTTGTCTCCGTTCTCACGTTTTGATTTTTGCTTAATGCGGGTCAAGATGCTCCGAAACCATGCTTTTTACCGATTCTGTCATGGATTTGCCCGGGAATTACATCATGCTGTCCTGTCATTTGCTTGAAAGTTATTGGATTTGATGCAAGTATGCATCTTTGCTTGATGAACTTATCAAGTTATCTACCAAAGACACAAATGCAGATGAAGACTTGAAATTTTGCCGATTGAATCGTTGATCTAGTGACACCACTTCGAGACGGTCTATGGTGACTCGTGAGCTCTTTGGACCGGATGACGGCGGCAGAGTAGATGAGGAGGACGGAGGCAGAGTCGCCGAGGAGGACGAAGTTGACGACGGCGGGTGATTTCACGTTCTGGAGGAGGACGAAGTTGAACGACAGTGCTACAAAGTAAAATGTGTTTCGGTTCTAAAAATAAAAAATAAAAAATAAAAAATAAAAATATATGTGTTTCGATTCAGTTCGTGTTCTAAACATGAACCGAATCGAAACCATTGAGATACCCATTTGCTTAGCTAATACCCGAACATGAAGTTGACCCAATCCGAAAATACCCAAAATTTCGGATCGGGTCGGGTCTGTTCGTGTTCCGGTTCGGGTATATTGTTCGGCTTTGACACCCCTAGTCTTGGGTTCCTAGAAGCACTTAAAGAGTAAAATCTTGAATGCACCATATCGATATGGAGAAGCATGTCCTTAAAATCTCATGAGGAGGTAGACCATTTTAGGTGCGCAACAGCCAACTCGAACACAATCTGACCGCTAAATCTAAAGAAAGAAAAAAAAAATCTCAAATCTTCAATAAGATGGAAGAGAAACCAAACTTGAATTTTTAAAGCATATCATGATGGACGCAATGCACGCTAGAGCCTAAAAGTGTACCTTTCTCACCATTAAAGATCCGAAAAATAAATCATGTCTGTTCTTTAAAAGGTGCAAGCTTTCAAGGTAATTAGGTAGTCCACACAACTGAAAATGATAGAATAGCCAAGAGCCTAGGAAAAGGAAGAATTGGGTGTGTTAGTGGCTAAACTACCAGCTTAGGCAAACTCTAATCTTCCTTGTTTTCCAGGTAATCCGAATGTTAATCAAGAAAAGTCACTAATCATGCCAAATTAGTGAGCAAGCAAGCAGGTGAAACTAGTCGGATTTGGCTTTTCTCTGGTCTGTAATGATGGAGACCTTTACCAAAAACTCGTGTCTGGGGCTGAAACTTTCATTAACAAGGGTTTTTGCATTGTTGGCAAGGTCTTCTTTTATGGGCCATGCTCGAATTTGGGTTCACGATCAAATTTTTCTTTTCCCTTTTGGAGTCCCATGAAATTGTCCATAGTTTTGTGAATTTATTACCTTTACAAAAAGCTGTGCCTGCTTCCTTCAATCAAAACAACTTTACTTAGGACCACAAAAAGTATTTAAAAGGTTAAAAAAGAAATTGGAAGAACCCTCACCTATCAATGTACATTTTCTTTTTTTTATCGAAAGCAGATGCGCTATATTCGCTTGCAATTGTAAATCCACTCGATTATACCGTTGTGAAACGACTTTCGCTATTAAAAAGTCTTGGCATTCGAATTGAATACGAGAGTCGTGATGTATAGGTACGGCTCTCTATTATGTCCTCTGCAAGATTGATCTCGTAAAGACACATTTTTCGAGTGGGTTTCATCTGTTTGGACAGCATTTTAACACGAGTTACGGTATTGTAGGATTTGGCATAACAAATTTGTCGTGATGTGCTGAATACAATCGATGACATTAACTCGGTCGGATCCGACAGTGAAAAATGCTTCGGCATCCGATGCTTGATATCTAGACTTTCTTCATTCGACGGTCGAGATTTCGCATGGCAATTTTGCCGTGCAGAAAAAGCTCATCACGAAAATCTCCTAATGTTTTGTATTTCTACTTGTAATTATGAAAAAAACTTAGGAAGGGTCCATATAGGAATTGTCAATGCCATGCACTCAATTGGCAAATGAACAACCTATGAACACTTGGCAACAAATTTCCAACACTACCAAAGTCAACAATCTCAACACAAGTTGACTTGGTCTCTCTCTCTCCAAACTCCGTTCGATACCACTGACTGTTCCTCTTCCCACCACTGTAATCAATCATTAATAAAAAAACAAATCTCTCAGATTCATTATCCTAATCTCGCGATTAATTAACCTTAATCTCTGTCTTAAGGAAACCCCATCACCGCGTTACTGTCCCCCCACTGGTTAAAGCCTGCACCTTTTTCTTCTTTCTTTTTCTTCTTCTCTCTCTCTCTCTCTCTGTGCGATGCCATTGCATGATGGGCGTGTATCTTCCTTAGAATTCAAGCAAGAACAAACCCCATAACCCCTCTCTCTCTCTCTCAAAAAGCGACCCTTCATCGTTCGCCACCAATAAGTGGAGAAGCGTCATTCGATCGGGCACTGACTGAGTCAAAGGCAATTGGGTAGCCGTCGAACGCCATGGCCGAGCACCTGCCCTCTCCGTTCGGCGATCCGGCGCCCACCCTTTCCGATCCGGAGCTCCGGGAGACCGCCTACGAGGTCCTCGTCGCCGCGTGCCGGAGCTCCGGCTCCCGGCCGCTGACATACATCTCCCAGTCGGAGCGGTCGGCCGGGGCCGCGGCGGCGGCTGCGGCGGCGGCGCCGTCGCTGCAGAGATCGATGACGTCGACGGCCGCGAGCAAGGTGAAGAAGGCGCTGGGGCTGAAGCGGAGGGAGTCGATGGCCCAGAGGACTGGCGGCGACTCGGCGGCGGGCCAGGGCCGAGCCAAGAGGCCGGTCACGGTGGGGGAGATGGTCAGGGTTCAGATGAAGGTGTCTGAGCAGACTGACTCGAGGGTCAGGCGTGCTTTGCTGAGGGTCGCTGCTGGTCAGGTGCGAATGCTCTGTTTTCTGAAGTACATGTTCTTCGCATGGTTTGAGTTCAAAAATTTTGGTGTGTAATTGAGTTGAGATTGTTGAAATGTGCAGAATTTTAGTTACCAGTGAACCATTTTTTGGGGCACGATGAGGCAAAGAGAAGTTAGTTGGAAAGAGTTCACTGGTTTTACATGGTTTTGGCAATTAGGAATGATTGGAAAGAAAAGTTAGGAGGATATAGGTGGTTCTCTCTAGTCAGTGAAGATTTCCAATCTCAGTTCTGATTGTTAATCTTCATTGTAAGTAATTGAGTGCCAAATGGAAGTTTAGCATAATTAGCTCTTCCCCCGTTTTTTTCTATATTTCCAGCTTAATTTTTTTTCACTGTTCTATTGTTACTTTATTATGGGATAAGGGGTAGCTGCTCTATCGTTCATCACGTTGAACCAAGGATTATAGTTTCAATTTTGTCGAGTTTTCTTGGTCACTTATCTATTGAAATTCTATTTGTTACAAAGGTATATCCTTCTAATTCTCATTAATCTGTTGATGGTCTTTTCTAATGCAACTTCAATGGACAAACTTCTGTTTACCCAATTGTTTCAGCTTGGAAGACGGATGGAGTCGGTAGTTCTTCCATTAGAGCTGTTACAGCAGTACAAGTCGTCAGATTTTCCCAACCCGCAGGAATATGAAGCTTGGCAAAGGAGACATCTGAAGGTTCTCGAAGCAGGATTGCTTCTGCATCCTCACCTGCCTTTAAGAAAGTCAGACACTACTCCACAGCGGCTCCGGAAATTGATCCGTGCCGCCTTAGAAAATCCCAGAGAAAGCGAAAGGAATGGTGAAGCAGTGCAACTCCTTCGGAGCAACGTGATGTCTCTGGCTTGCAGATCTTTCGAAGGGAGTGCTTCAGAGACTTGTCATTGGGCTGATGGTTTCCCATTCAATCTTAGGCTGTATCAGATGCTCCTAGAAGCATGTTTTGATGTTAATGATGAAACATCCATGATTGAAGAGGTTGATGAGGTTTTGGAACTCATTAAGAAAACCTGGGTAATTCTTGGGATGAACCAGGCCCTACATAATCTTTGTTTCGCATGGATGTTGTTCCAGCGGTATGTAGCAACTGGGCAAGCAGAAAATGACCTGCTATTTGCTGCTGGTAATTTGTTGATGGAAGTTGAAAATGATGCAAAGCACATGAAAGATGAAAACTACCGGATGGTTTTAAGTTCCACATTGAATTCAATTTTGAATTGGGCTGAGAAGAGGCTTCTTGCATACCACGATTCGTTTCACAGCAGTAATATTGATGTGATGCAGAGTTTCGTGTTGCTTTGTGTGTCATCAGTGAGAATTTTAGCTGAAGGTACCTCCCATGAGCATCGCAGGAAAAAGAATGATACTGATGTAGCTTGCGACAGGGTTGAGGCTTACATAAGATCATCGCTCCGCATGGTCTATTCTCAGGCGAGTCTAATCATTTCATACTCTTCATGCATCATGAGAATTGATGTGATAGCGGCACATGCAAATGGCAACTTCAGAAACAAAATCTATCTGCACTTTTATCATGTTGATGCCTTTTGTTGTGAGATTTCTGCTGGAATCTAGTTTTATTTAGATCAGTGAGCAAGTTTTATACGACTCAACTTTTTTAATGGACAATTCCTCCTTTCTCCCTTTTATATTTTAAAAAAAAGACTGCTCCTTTCTACATTTTGTTGTGGTCTGATGGATTTACAATTTTGTTCTATATTCTGTAATATCTTAGAATGAAGTGGATAGTTAGTCCTGTAGATATTTGTAGGAACTGTTTTTATTCGACTCAGTAAGCTGTAATTTCTTGGGAACTCATTACAGTCTTTCTTCCTTCATGCTACTATCTAGTAAGTCCTGTAGATATTAGTGAGAACGTTTTAACTCCGTAAGTTGTATTTATTACTGTCTTTGCTCTTCATGCTACTTTCATCACCGTGATGAAATTCCTTTCCTGATTCTCAAGATTGTGTATTGGTAGAGTGTGGAGGATATGGACCCATATGCATAGCAAGACGCATAAGAACAAACAGTCGATCCTATGATTATCTTGAACCTATGATGGCCATCAGTTAATTTTCTGTAGTCTTTTCAATTTAAAAATATTTTTACTCATCTCTTGGAGTGGCGAGGGACACTAATAAGGCTTTAGATAGTTCTTGTGCAAGCGCTTGAGGATGCAGTCTAGCTTTAATATAATAATGCTATTGGAAGTACTGTTTCCTTTCTTTTGATTGAAAACTTTTTCCTTTGTACTTTGAAGACAGAAAAAGGAGAAGATAAGGAAAATATGTAAAAGCCAGCATAATGCTCTTCCTTTCCTATCTATCCTTGCTCAAGACATTAGAGAACTTGTTGTTAATGAGAAGGAGCTGTTTAGCCCGACATTGAAGAGGTGGCATCCACTTGCAGCAGGTGTTGCAGTGGCAACTCTTCATTCTTGCTATGGGAATGAGTTGAACCGGTTCATTTCGGGTATCGAGGAGTTGACGCCTGAGGCTATGCAAGTTCTAATTGCAGCAGATAAACTGGAGAAAGATCTTGTCCAAGTGGCAGTTGAAGATTCAGTGGACAGTGAGGATGGTGGAAAGTCTATAATACAAGAGATGCCTCCCTATGAGGCTGAATCTGTGATAACCAATCTGGTGATGTCATGGATAAAAACAAGAGTTGACAGATTGGGAGAGTGGGTTGACCGGAATCTGCAACAGGAGGTACGTCACTGATGGTCTGCATTATGCAGGGAACGTAATGCACTGTTGTTATTCCCATCAACTCCTGTTTGTTAGTTTCTGAATTTGTCTCATATGGCGATTTTAAGTGGTGCACGAATCAGGATATAGACCATTTGATGCGTGCTGACATGAAGGGTTCATACTTCTTGTGGACTCGTCATTCTTGTCATTATTCTTAGTAGCGAGATGCATTTCCAGATACTTTGAATGCTCAGTTTAATGTATTCTTCTATATAGGTTCATACCTTGCCAACTTCTTTATGTGTAGGTTTGGAGTCCAAATTCTAATAAAGAACGATTTGCTCCTTCTGCCGTGGAAGTTCTCCGGATAGTTGATGAAACTTTGGAAGCATTTTTCCTCTTGCCCATACCAGTGTATCAAAGCTTGCTTCCTCAACTAATCAGTGGTCTTGATAGATGTCTTCAACAATATATATTGAATGCAAAAGCTGGCTGTGGTAAGTACTGTGGACTGTAAAATGACTTCAAAAACTTAACATCTTTTATACTGAGTACTAGAGAAGACCTATAGAGATGGCACTGGGACTTTTGCAATTGCTAGATGTTTAACTCAAGGTTAATTATGTTGTTTTCTGAAGGAACAAAGAGTAATTTCATCCCTGCAATGCCTGCTCTAACTCGATGTACTACGGGATCTAAATACAATCGTGTGTCCAAGAAGAAGGAAAAGGAAAAAATAGGTCAGAGGAGGAAATCCCAGGTTGGGATTACCAATGGGGACGACTTCTTTGGAGTACCTCAGCTGTGTGTTCGCATTAACACACTACAGCACTTCAGGACACAACTGGAGGTTTTGTCAAAGAAGACACTCATGTATCTTAGAAGTTCTGACCCCACTCATGCAGATGTTATCGCAGATGGAAAGGGAATTAGGTTTGAGCTTTCTGCCACTGCTTGTGTGGAAGGAATCCAACAACTTTGTGAGACGACAGCTTATAAGGTGATCTTTGACAACCTAAGTCATGTGCTTTGGGATGGTTTATATGTCGGGGATGTCGCTTCTTCTAGGATTGAGCCTTTCCTTCAGCATCTTGAACAGTATTTAGAGACATTATCGTCGTTGGTGCATGATCGAGTGAGAACGCGTGTTATAACAGATGTCATGAGAGCTTCCTTTGATGGGTTTCAATTAGTTTTGCTAGCCGGAGGACCTTGCCGTGCATTCTCTCTTGAAGACTCACAAATTGTAGATGAAGACTTTAAGTTCCTTGAAGAGTTATTTTGGTCTAATGGGGATGGGCTGCCAGCTGATCTGATTGATAAATTTTCAGCCACGGTTAAAAATATTCTTCCACTCTTTCACGCCAATACTGAGAGTCTAATTGAGCGGTTTAAACAGATCTCACAGGAAAGTTATGGCTCCACCGCCAAATCCAAGCCACCATTGCCTCCAACTCCAAGTCAATGGAGTCCTAACGAACCAAACACTATTTTACGAGTTTTGTGTTACAGGAATGACCAGTCAGCAACGAAGTTCCTCAAGAAAACCTACAACTTTCCCAAGAAACTATGACTAGTCAACGTGGAGCTATCAATTTGTGTGGTGTGTCTTGATGTAAGTCTTGCTGCTGGACCATTCCTATTGCTTTGTGTAGTTTGGACAAGTGAGTTCTTGCACTTTTGCACGAGGAGGGCCTCTTTGGGGTGGTCTTTGGATGGCGAGATGCGTCTCTTGCATAATTGTTTGTTGGCTCAAGGTGGCTCAACAATAACAAGATTGTTAGCGCATCAGTAATATCATCAGTTCATCCACTCACAAGAGGGCTCTAGTGAGATTGGAATGTGAAGCTCACGAGAGATAATGCGAGGACATTGTGTCGGCATTGGCATCGGTTGACTCTATGTACCCTGAAATAATGCCTCCTGGGGAGCGGTTCAGGCAACTAAACGTCAACATTTACATGGTGTGACAATGGTTTCTTTCTTTACTCATATTTTAATAGGATACGGTAGATGAGATTATATGAAGGTAAAGAGCTCCAATAATACAAGGATAGGTATCGTGCACCCCGGTTTGCAACAGCAGTTGTGAGAAACTGAGACAGAATTAGTTAGCTTTCCATTTTGTGTACGATAAGTATTCACATGTACCGTTCTGTATTATACGTCTCTCTCCAGAAAATTGAGTGTCTAGGTTTGGGTTGTTTAGCGTTCCGTACCAAGATGTTACTTGATCAATTGCACTTCCAGACACTTGTTCGCCTTATATGTATGCGTTTTAATCTCGAGTTCAAATGGCTGTGGACCTCGGATCGGTAGATCGACTCGCCTGATCCCAAAGTCCACATAACAGACTTTCTCAGAGCATGTAATAATCTCTTTGATCCCTCAACTGAGTATATGCATATGTTTTGTTTCTTCATGGAGAACTGCCTGTGTTGTTTCGTTGTACTGGTGAAAAAATGTGAGCATGTCAATGGGCATGCCTCCGGAGACGGGAGCCGTCATGAGTCATGACATGATCCATCCTTGTATCGGAAGCTTGTTGCCCGATTTCCTCCATCAATCATTCCCGAACCATTCATTAGAGTAGATCCGGTAACTATAATTTGCTTGCGTTGACCTGAACTCATGTTGGATGCCTCTCTTGGTTATGGAAACGATCCGAGAAAGAGTGAGAAGAGAGTCCATAGATGATTAGCTAACAAAAAGAATGTTGTTAACTCCATTCTTCCTAGTATTAGGATGATTTCCCCTTAACTCGTTCCAAAAATGGGAAAATTGAAAATTGGCACTTGATTGTGGACCAAATCCAGCCTAATTTTCTTCTCGTCAAACACTCTCCGAAGTGACTCGACCGTGAATTGGATTGAACCTTGGCGTGGAAACCAATTAAGTGACAACCATGCTTTGGTGCCTGGGGAAACTGCCCTAATGCGACAGCACTTCATTGTATTTGCGCATTCTCTTAGAACCACTCCTATGAGTACATACCCATTCGTCTTTAGTAATTATCCAGCATGCACGGAACATGGGAGTTACCTCATCCGGCGTAAACTAATCAGGTGTTCGAAAAATCCCGAATACTCTGACGATATAAGAATAATTGGGGATAATGACACAAATAGTCCATAAACTTTGAATCAATGTGCAATGTAATTCCATAACTTTTAATTTGTTCAATATAGTTCCCGAACTTTAACCTAATGTTCAATGTGTTTTTTGAACTTTTTATTTGTTCAATGTGATCCAAGGTTTTTGATACATGTTCAATGTAGTTTCAGAACTATATGAAAATGTTTAATGTAGTCCCTTAACTTGAATAAATGGAAGGACTACATGGAACATCTTAATATAGTCCAGAAACTAAATTGAACATGTATCAAATATTCATAGACGAAATTGATCAAATTAAAATTTCAAGGACCACATTGCACATTTGGTCAAAGTTCAGGTACTGCATTGAACAAATTCAAAATTCTGGGACCACATTGCGCATTAGATCAAAGTTCAGGGACTGTATTATTTTTCCGAATAATTGTGACTTCATCTCCGACGTCGCATCGGAGTCGATAGTCCTTTTGTTTTTGTAGAAAATGAATTATTGTGATCACATAAACCATTCAAATCTCCCTTCTATTGAGATCGTGTAAAATAGTTTCTCCAATTCTCTTGTCTCAATACTCTTGACTTCCCATTCAAAAGTGACGCAACGCTCGCCGCATAGAAGTGGGCCTCAAGCCCGTGATCGGCTCTCATCCTCAGGGCCCAATGGACACGCGAGAAGCAAGTCAGCCCAAGACAACGAGGCCCATTTAAGGCCCATCAAACATCTCTTTTTTGTGTGTGTGTGTGTCTCCTTTGGCATCCTTCGCCGACTCGGACCGGTACCTCATCAAGTTCCTCCATTTTTCAGATTTTCGTCGTCGTCGTCTTCTTCTTCTCGCTGGCTTTTGCCCTATCCGTTCCCCTTCTTCATACGCTTGAAGGCCTCCTGTTTGATCGGCCATAATCAATCGAACCAGGCTCGTGCTTAAAGGTATCGACTTGCCTTGTCTCTCTCTCTCTTGGTCTCGATTGTTTCGAATTTCGAGGTTCGCCGGCCTGTTTTGGGGGGAGGGGCTAGGTATGGTGGCTTGGGTTCTAGATGCGTTTGGTGCAAAGGGGTTTTGAGCGCCTGGCGTGTCGTGTTCGAGGAGCGCTGCTGCTTCAATTGGGCTTGGCTGAACCCTAGGATTAGAATCTGAATTTGAAGCTCGGGTTTTGATTGCAACCCTAGATCAGAATGCGATTTTGGAGCTGTGGGTTGAGCTTGGTCGCAGTGTTACTTGGCGGTTGCAAAATTTTTCTTGTTATGTTCTGCTTTTTTCTTTACTGGATTGAAGTTACCGGTTTTTCTCTGCTCTATGTTTGGATGTTGTGTTTTTTTGTGGTATCATGTAGAAGTCTTGCGGTGATGAAGCGTACGGTGTGATTCGGTTTCGTTTTAGCTGTTTATTTTGCTGTGTCTCTACTGTAAGGTTATATGGAGATCAAAGAAGGGTTGGAAGCTTATGTGATTCACTGCCTAGGGATTTTGGAGTAGCGGTTGTTTGACTCTGATGCTTGTACTGTACCTCTCTTGGGAGTCGATGCTGGTGGAATTTAAATATGTTTACACTTTTCTTCGATCTTTCGAAGTACCCGCAATTTGTGGGCCACTAGATGGTGTCCAATTTTGAATTTTTTAGGTTAATGTTCATTCGAATGGATTTCATGTTTTCTGGTAATTGCTGAGGAGGATTTTTCCGTGTGACTTTGTGTTTCAGGTTGTTGGGACTCCTGGCTTTCCGTTCCGTGACAAGGAAGCATGGCATCTTTGAATGACCTGTTGCCTCTGGCGAAGTCAACCGCAGCCACATTTTATGACCACTCAAATGATCCCTGGTTCAAGCAGCGCTTCAGTTCTTCTGATTCTGAACGAACCACTGTGGTCAAGCTCAATCCTGTGCCGCCATACTTGAAACGCCAGGGTTTTGTACCTCGAAAAATTGAGGATTTTGGAGATGGAGGCGCATTTCCTGAGATTCATATTGCCCAGTACCCTCTTGATATGGGCAGGGATAAATCTGGGAAGCCTGGATCTAAAATTCTGCCGGTGACTGTTGATGCTCATGGAAATGTCGCTTATGATGCCATTGTTAAACAGAATGAAAACGCAAAGAAGGTTGTTCACAGCCAGCATAAAGATCTCATTCCAAATATTCTGAGAGATGAGGATGAGACAGAAGAGGATGAAGATATGGAGAGGGAGATCGAAGAAATAACTCAGGAAACAAAGAATGCACTAGAGAAGATTGTTAATGTGAGATTGAGTGCGGCACAGCCGAAAAATGTGCCCAAACAATCATCAGATTCAAAGTTTATTAAGTATAAGCCATCGCAGCAGGCTGCTGCATTTAATTCTGGTGCAAAGGAGAGGATTATAAGGATGGTGGAGATGCCTGTGGACCCCCTCGAGCCACCAAAGTTTAAACATAAGAGGGTCCCAAAGGCCTCTGGATCCCCGCCTGTGCCAATTATGCATTCACCACCTCGCCCTGTAACCGTAAAAGATCAACAGGATTGGAAGATCCCACCTTGTATCTCAAATTGGAAAAACCCTAAGGGTTACACTATCCCACTAGACAAGCGTCTTGCTGCTGATGGACGAGGTCTCCAGGATGTACAGATCAATGACAATTTTGCCAAGCTTTCTGAGGCTCTTTATGTTGCTGAACAGAAGGCTAGGGAGGCAGTTGCCATGAGATCTAAGGTGCAGAAAGAAATGCTGATGAAGGAAAAAGAGAGGAAAGAGCAGGAGCTCCGGGCTTTGGCTCAAAAAGCTCGTTCAGAGAGAACCGGCACAGCAGCCCCTGCTGCTGTTTCTATTCCTACCGAGAAAAATGACATGGATGGTGTGGAAATGAGAGGGCATTACGAGCGTGAAGGAGAGAGAGATCGAGATTATCCCAAGGAAACAAGAGAAGAAAGGGAAGAAAGGCTGCAACGCGAGAAAATTCGTGAGGAGCGGCGTCGAGAGAGGGAGAGGGAGAGAAGATTGGAGGCTAAGGACGCTGCTATGGGAAAGAAAAGCAAAATCACTAGAGACAGGGATAGGGATATTAGTGAGAAAGTTGCATTGGGAATGGCTTCAGCTGGAGCAGGTAGAGGAGGCGAGGTCATGTATGACCAGAGGCTCTTTAACCAAGAGAAAGGCATGGATTCTGGGTTTGCCACCGATGACCAATACAATGTATACGATAAAGGACTGTTCACCGCTCAGCCCACACTTTCAACTCTCTACAGGCCTAAGAAGGACCTTGATTCTGAAATTTATGGAGGTGCGGATGAGCAGTTAGATAAGATTATGAAGACCGAGCGCTTCAAGCCAGATAAGGCATTCTCCGGCACAGAGCTGAGAGGCGGTCCGAGAGACAGGCCAGTTGAGTTTGAGAGGGAAGCTGCTGAAGAGGCTGATCCATTTGGTCTGGATCAGTTCTTGACAGAGGTGAAGGGGGGCAAGAAACCTACTGATAAGATTGGCTCTGGAGGGACAATGAGGGCCAGTGCAGGCTCGTCGATGCGCGATAGTTATGGGGGAGGTTCCAGCCGAACACGCATCGGCTTTGAGAAGGGACGATAAACTATGTTCTGCTAATCTTTGCTTGTGCAAGCAGCAGTTATTTAGATTATTGTGTTTGTATGGTAAAGTTATTTACTTGGTGTGTGCTATGGATTCGAAATTTGCTTAAACGGAGGAAGCAGGATGAAGTAATGCAGAAACTCTGGATTTTGTTAGCCACAATTTTAGTTGCATTACAATAATCAGCATTCTCTTCTAGCTGCTGTGAATTCATCATGGTTCCATTTTTTGATCGATTTACTCAGAGCTTGTGCTTTGCTGACTGTTTTACGCTGCACAGGATTATTTGTTTGAAACAGATTTAGCGAAAAACAAGTGCCTAAAACTGTTGAAGATCTGACCGATTGTTTCAGAGGCTTTAAAACTTAAATTGTATTTATGGCGATCATATAACAAAGCAATTAGCCTCTCCAGTGATTGTAGACCGGCTTGTATGATTTCCTGTATGTTGTCACTCCTGGTCAAAACTCAAAAGCAATCTGTAGTCACCTGATAGCTCAAATTCAGGGTTCTATGCTTGCCGATTTATGAGTGTTGAGAGTTGAAAACGTGAGTCGGAACAAAAATTGGGAGGCTTGAAATGTTGGTTTGACATTATATTATCCGTGCTAGGCCTTTTTGCTTGAACATCTAGTTGTGATCTTGATGTGAAGGCAGCTCTGCCAGTTTACTTGAGATAAACTTGTCAAAGTTACTAAAGGGACCATTATCTTTTGCCCCAAAGATAAACTATCTCAGTAAGGTAAATTAAGATGGGAACTATCAAATCATGCGGGCAATTGTCTACAGATTAGAGAAAACTCCAAGAAAAAATGTCCTATTAACCTTCCATATATAATCAGATATCATTAGGATGGTGTCGAAGGTATGCAAAAAGTACTCGGAAATAGGTACAGCACAAATCCTTGGAACTGGGTGAAGACGAGTTAGCTGTCGTCCGAATACAAAAAAAAACTTCATATCATCATTTGAACACCGTCCTTAAACTCAGAAGAAGTCGCTTTAAATACACATCCAACCAACAAAAGCATCCCGTATCCATCCTATTGCATTAAAGTTTTGGCACATAATCAAAGGGTGAAGGCTTCGGCTTGGAAATAGGAAAACCCAGCAGCAAGGGACTAGAATCCAGAAAAAACTTTTGGAAAAGATTAAGAAAATTGACAAAACTGAAGTTTTCCACCGGTGAAGAAAGCAGGAATCTCGCTGTGCTCAGGGTCCGGAAGCATTCCTCAGAAGGAAACTGAATCAGTCTGCAAAGGGCTCCAGTGATATCGCAGGAAATGGCAATGCCAATGAAAACCGAGAATACTTTGTCCAACTACGGGCCTTGGAAACATTGCTCGCACATAAGTTGCAAATCTTCTCTGGCTCCTAGTCACATCACATCTCCCTGTGTGAAGCAGCTCCATCAACGAGAAACTGAGGACCACTAAGCAAATATTTTCGAATCAATTTGCTGAATGTTTGGGAAGATTCGCTTCAATGTGGTGAAGTAATTTGGAGATTTTGCCTGAAAAAACGAAGGTAAGGTTAGAGATGTCGAAGCTCAGAGATTGAACATATAGTCAACTACTGTACGAACAAAACTAAAAAATTAGTCACTAATCCATCTTTCTGTCTCTGTCCAAAGCAACTAACTTAAGCAAAATGGTACACCCTTAGAAGATTTCCAGTGGTTCCAAAAGAATATGTCTAATATATTTGCTATATTAGACATATTCTTTTGGAACCACTGGAAATCTTCTAAGGGTGTACCATTTTATATTTTAAGATTTTCACGATATATTAGACATATTCTTTTGGAACCACTGGAAATCTTCTAAGGGTGTACCATTTTATATTTTAAGATTTTCAGGTGAGACACCTGATGTTTATAAAGCCACGAGGGGGGGGGGGGAAACATGTTAGATCAATGATGGAACAAGAAATCAATGAGCAAGATAAAGGAGAGATACGCTACATTTCCCTATCAATAATGCTAAGAAAATTTGTTTTCTCAAAGCAAATTCTCAACTTCCCTTGTATGTTTCCTTGATAAGACACCAAGAGCTAAATCAAAACTTAGTCCTGTCCCATCCTATTTCAAAAACCATAGCAAGGCACTCGTAATGACCATGGGCATTACAGCACTATCAATAAAATCGGAAGAATGTGCCATGTAAGCATTCTCAGTATGAGAATAGCAGTATTGCTTTTGCTGAGCTATGATTCATGAATCTTTACAAACATTAGATATATTAGGCAAAATTCCCCAAGCAGTCTAGAGGTATGGTGCATACTATGGCTCCATTTGTTTTGCGGAAAATGGATGATTTGGAAAACATTTTCCTAAAAATGATCGCTTATATCGCTTGAAATAATTAGTCAATGAAAAATGTTTTCATTATCGACAACTTATTTCTAAGCATTCTTGTGGACGATAAAAAAAAATTTCGTTCGTTCATTTTTATAAATGACAAAAGCGATCATTTTTATGAAAATGTTTTCCAAATCATCCATATTCCGCAAAACAAACGGAGCTTAAGACTGGTTCAATTTGAGTACATGACATATTATCCACTAAAAGGTAAAGAGTACATGGCATATTACGTATTAAGAAGATATCAACCAAAAGGGGGATGTGATCAACATAAGAAAATTACTCTGAAATACATCCTTTTATGGATATGATAGCACAGCAAGAAAAAGAAATCTTGAAGAAAACAAATCAATCACTCAAGTTGCAGAAAACGTACACATGGATTGTTCTCAAGATAGAGAGTGGTAAGTTTCTCTCTTGAACCGGTAACAGCCTCAGCAATAGTTTCAAGTGATTCTATCTGATTGTCATTAAGCCATAAATCTTCTAACCTGCAAATGATAATCAGAAGAAAATAAAACCATGCAACCAACGCACCAATCAGAATAAAAGTCTAAGCTGCAATCAACAGCATATCAGAAAGTAAAAATACATCATCAATTATGTGAGAATGTGATCAATGGGAAAATCTTAAGAAACAGTGATACCTTGTTAGGCTCTGAATGTCATCAATAGACTTCAGTTTATTTGACGACAGATCTAATACACGAAGATTGACTAAGGTTGACAAGCCTTCCATTTTTGCAATGCCATTGTGGCTCAAGTACAATTCCTCGAGAGCAATGCATCCCTACAAATTTTGTCATTATCATTACCCAAATGTCATTGATAATGTAAGAAATTACTGCGTTATCATTGCAGAATTGCCCGGCTTGAGGACCAAACAACAGACCACAGTGTACCTCAAATCCTGCCATGGAGGTCAAACGATTGCTTTGTAAGCTAATCTTCTTGATGCATTTCAGTCCACATAAATTGACTGTTTTGATACGATTCCTTCCCAGCCACAGCTCTTGTAAGTTAATTAAATTTTGCAAGTTCTCTATCACCTGAAACAGAAGGTTCACATCTCATGAAAAACTACTAAAGAGAATTCAATAGACCATTGTGTCTTAGATATTGACTGCTACACCCTTCTTCAGTGAATACAACCATTTGTATCCATTCTAAGCACAAAGAAATCTGTTGATAGTACTAGGAACATGATTTTGACGTAATGGAATTGAGGTTTGCAACTAAGATCAGTTAAATATTCAGTCCCAACATTTGGTTATCTCTAAAGGTAAGAACAATCACCCTCAATCTGTTAGAACCGAGTTCAAGAATCTGAAGGTCAGTGAAGCGATCAATCTCCTCCATTTTCGGAACTTCGTTCTTCGATACATAGAGCTCCTTGAGAGTGCTGGAGACCTTGGACAACCCACTCAATGAAGGAATCTCATTGAAAGAGACATCGAAAACCAAAAGCCTCTTGAATATGCTGGCATCAGGTAGCTTTGTTAATTTGTTATCCCTAAGCACTAGTTCCTGCAGGATTAAAACTACTCGTTACTCCAAAGAACCAAAAAGCAGTGAAACCTACATGTAATACAAAACTTCTGGCTTTTTCCTTAATCATTCAAAGGAAGAAAAAGAATATGGATTTCACAGCAACACAGCAAATGTCCACAAACTCTGCATAATAAGAAATATACACCACAAAAGGGATTTTTTTTTTTTTGTAGTAGAAGAAAAAGTAGCCAGCATTCTACAACAACAGCTACCACTGCGTAATTGCAAACAAGATACAAACCTAGGCAAGTTTCTCTTTTTCAAGGTCAGCAAGAGGGACTCCCTATCCCCAACCAGGATCACTTTCCTCCCCATTTTCTACCTTTCTGAGCCATTCTGCCGGGAGTTTTGCTATAATTTCTTCTCCAAGTTTCGCTTCATGCACTTAGCCCAACCTAAGCACTATGAACTCATTGGAAAATGTGGCACCCTATACAGAATCAGTCGCACCAAAGCGCCAAAATGGGATCAAGCTTGATGAATGCTCTACCTATTCATTTTCCTTCCAATGTTATGTCAAGGTGGTCAACCAGCGCCCATTACAAAAATTCTTTGCCTACGCTCCACTAATGCTTCAACATACATTTTTTCTCAGTACAGGTGCCGAGCTAAAAGCAAAACAAGCACATCCTTTTCCACAAAAATTCAATCTTCACCAAACAACAAGAGCACATAAGCAAGCATTCGCTTAACCAACCGGCCAAAACAGCTCCAAATATAGGCCATAAAGAAAACTTTTCAAGATTCCCGAAAAGAGAAGAATCGAGCACCTCGAGGCCGGACAACGCCTCCCAGCGAGAGATGGCCGCGGCGGCGGCGTCGTCGATCAGATTCTGGCGGAGCGAGAGCTTCTTCAGGTTCGACAGCTGCCCGATTCGCGGGTCGAGGTCCGTGAGGCGGTTCGCGGTCAAGTCCAATTCGGTCAGGGTCGGGGGGAGCTCGACCGAGCTGAGATCGTGGAGCTGGCAGCTCGTGAGGTCGAGGACCGCCGCGGGCCCGTCGTCCTCCGCCGCCGCCGCCGCCGGATCGCCGGCGGCGTCCGGCGCCGATTTGGTCCGGCTTTCCGCCATGCCTCGCGATGATCGATGGAGAGAGTTCGAGAAGAGGCGAGAGGAATCTTCTTTGGCTTGTTTCGGTTTTGCCTCTCTCTGTTGGCGTAGTCATTGCGTGGAAGAAGGCATTGGGCCGATGGGCCCCTTTTTCTTCTTGGGCTTCCGAAAGCCCAATTGGCCCTTCTTAGGATGAGCGAGCAGGCAATCCTCTGCTCTTGTATATTAAAACTGGGGAACAAGCTGCTGACTTGTCTAAGGATGGTGTAAACTGTAAAGGCGACAAGAAGCAACCCAGTTGTTGGACAGCTAAGCCAGCGTTAAGTATTGTCCTTCTTGTAGCAAGAACTCAGAACTTTTCTCCCATGATATACTAGAAACACTAGACTAGACATGTTCAAATGAGTTGCAAGACTAAGCAAAAGTATATAAACAAGTGGAGTAGATCAATCAAGCATAAGGAGCAAGGAAAAGAGAATTTGCCCAGTCGACTTATAGCGGTCCGGCCCAAACGCGGTGCCTACGTCCACTCCCTGAGCCTCGCCGGGAGTTTGAATCCACCATCTCAAAAAAGAAATTTACAATTTGGTAAATGAGGAGCCAAATACTCCACCACAACTTGAATTCATAACTTGTACAGAGTTAGTGTCTCTCAATAGTGCAATCGCAAGCCATTTGCACAAACTGTTTCAGCAATCCCCAACAAAGTACAAGTGTTCTGCCCACTTAAAGAAACTCAAGGGAGACCTCAGTGTGTGTGGAAACAATCTAAACAAAAGCTAAGCCATTTGCAGCTTCAAAACCAGTTCACTTGAAACGGGGTCGGTGATCCGAGGGACACGGTGACCGGGAAAATTCCTTCCACGGCCTGTCTGGTACAGATGACCACTCCAAGAGGACAAGGCATCTGGTCATGACTTGATCTGATCTCCTTCAGCTCGAGTTGTTCCAGTCCTTCGTCAGTCCTTCAGGCAAGCGTTACTATCCCAAACCACCTCTTGGCCGCCTATGTAGCTGCCATATACATTGAGTGAGTCGGGTACTGGTTTCCTCACTCGCTGCTCGTCTGGTTCAATGGCTCGCTATGCATTTGGGAATGAAACACCTTGAAAAGCAACCTATAAAAATAGTTCAAGCCACCTCGACTTCAGGAACAACTTTCAGAACAACTTCCAGAGTAATGCTTATATGATCCAATCAACAATATGAAACAGCAATACACATTGGTTGTTCCACATGATTAGATGACAACTGTTCGGAAATCACAACACTAGTGTTCGCTCCAAACATTCGTTTACATGCGGATGCAAGCAGCTTGTGACAAATCAATTCATTTTTCATGGACAAGCCCAGAAAAATCAGCAGGTTCTGGTGCTATATGCAAAACATTATAAGAATCATCCATAAAGAATAAGACATAAAAAGAAGACTATCTGCAGAGCATTGTGCATGATTTTGGGATTTTTCACTAAGCAATATTTGCAGGACTCAAAAGGCATGAGGAGATGAAAAATCTTTTTATGATGTATAACTGGCAATCTTCCTACTCTAGTTGCTGTTCTTCGAAAGTTCCATTTCCACACGTCCCTATCCGAATTTGACGAGATTCGGAGAAATCCGTAATAAGCGAAAGAATTCAGCAGTTAAAGTAAGTTCACGCAAGAGAGAACAAGAATCATCGAGAACAAAGGCATACCATTGATTACATCTGCAATGTCGCCGTGCACATTTTTGACAGCATCTTCAGTGCATGCCCAGCAGCAAGAACCTACAATTAAGGCCCTCTTTGATTCAGTCAACAATGTCCGCCGCTTTGACAAACTTTTCGATTCTACCTTTAATAATCAGATCAACACGCGACCACTTTCTTAAGGCGAAAAGAGATGATAAATTGAGCAGATGAAGGGAAAGAAAAGCATCATGATGTTACCTCACCCAGCATCCAGAGAGCGGCATTGCCAAGAATCTCTCACAAAAGACGTTCAAGAACGACGTCTGGACCGAAAAGAAACGAACAAGAAATGTACAGGATAACATCCAATGTCCACACAATATGTTAGATGAGTTCATTGAACGAGACGGGAGATATAACACAGAAGCAAACAGATGATTACATAAAGCATGGCCCTATCATGATCTCGTACTCGTCGCCGAATGACTATGATTAACACGAACCGGGACTTGATTCTTTCGGCCCTGATCATCAACACCCATTGAATTGACGATGAACACCCAGACAAAAAGAAAATTACGAAGCAACATAACCGGAGTCGAAGAGATTTAGAAGAAGCGGGAGCGAAGAGTGCTTAAATAGTGAAGAAAGTGGCGGTGAAATTGAAAAGATGGCCTCGCGTCATTCCTTGGGAGACCGTTAAATGGCAAGTAATTGGTAGTTGGCACTCCAATTATTTCTATTGGCAAAAGAATTAGGTGCAATCTTGATTTTCTGACCAACAATACTTGTAAAATTTGAATCTTTAAATTATGCTGCCCGTTTGGTCGGCAACTGATCTTTCATGAATAGCATTGGCTAACATGATAACGGCATCTTGACGCGATGGTTTTTTTTACTTAGCGAAATTAATGAAAACTTCAATCGAAGTCATGGTGCAAAGTAATATTTTTATCGTTGTTGGGATTCAAAAGATCCTCTGATGTGAGACCGAGAAAAGTATCGGTAGAATTTTAAAAAAATGATTCCGAAAAGAATCCCGAAATTGCACTTTGTGTTTCCTAATTTCCAAATTTATACTTTGCATTCGTCATGTTTAAAATCCTGCACTTTCAAACCTCGTAATCTTTCATAGGGAAAATTTCATTTTGCTCCCCTCAAATTGTGGGCTGGTGCGCGTTCAACCCGTATTTTTAAAAGGTTGCATTTTATCTCCCCGAACTTGCGTTCTATTAGTGCGGGTCAAAAATATTTTCAATCTTGTGAAGCTTTCATAGTTCTTTAATTTTTTTTTTTGGTTAAGTTTAGCATATTAGATTAGTGGAATTAACGATGATGACGAGCCCAGGTATACAACTACGATAATTTCGGACGGTTGATAAATCTTACACCTTTTTGTAATTAATCGGCACAATTTTTTTCATCTATTTCCTTTTTATGCATGTTCTTCTAAAATGTTTCATAATTCTTCTTAATTGGATACATTTCATAAATTGTAAGAAAAAAAGTCGAACCTGACCCCTGAAAATTATGTTCGGGACACATGCAAATGCTAAAAGTTAACGAGCTTAACAAGTGTAAGGGAAATGCAAATTCATGAGGGGCTAAAAGGCGATTTTTTTTAAAGTTCGGGATTGAATCCGCATCTATGCTTAAGTTTGGGGGGGAATAAAATGAAATTTTCCTAAAAGTTATAAGCCGACGAACTTCAGAAATATGTAACCAAAGCAAAGGACAAACGTCAAAGGATGGTTGTCGGAACAGCACCGGAAATGTTTCTCGGAGCATTATCAGCAAACGGTCGCCGGTAGTTTTCTTCGCCGGCGATCGCCCTGATCGACTCGGAGTCGCGCACTGAAATCGCCTTAGCGCATGATCTCGTTTCGCCGCCTTCTACGTGGGCTCTCCAAGTTCAATCCAAGAAGACGACGGCTCTCGACCTCTTGCGCAGCCGATGCAGCGTCCGTCGCTTACCTCCACGCCCAGTCTCGGCGGCAACCCGATTCGCCGAGCTCGACCCAAGCCCACGCCAAAATGGTGGCGGCCCTCTTGTCCGAATGCGATGACAAGCGTGGGTTGAGCCGGATACACGCCCATGTGATCCGCTCTCGGTTGTTAGATTCGAATCCCGTCGCATTTCACTGGAACAACGTCATACGAGCCTATGCGAGACTGGACGGCCCGAGAAAGGCGTTGCTTGTGTACGCGTTCATGGCGCGAGCGGGCGTCTCGCCGGATTCTTACACTCTTCCCATTGTTTTGAAGGCGGTGTGCCAGTCTTTTGATTTTGAAGCTGGTAGGCAGGTCCATGGTGTCGCCGTGAAACATGGGTTGGAGTGTAATGAGTTCTGCGAGAGCGGTTTCATCAGTTTGTACTCCAAGGCAGGAGATTTCGGTGATGCGCGCAAGGTGTTTGATGAAAATGCTGACAGAAAGTTGGGTTCTTGGAACGCCATGATAGCAGGTCTTGCCCAAGGTGGGCGCTCCAGGGAAGCCATCGACCTGTTCATAGAGATGCGGAGAAGTGGTTTCGTATTAGATGACGTGACTTTGGTCAGTGTAACATCGGCTTGTGGAAGCATTGATGACCTAGATTTGGCACTTCAATTGCACAAATATGTTTTTCAGGCTAAAAATAGTGAGAAAGCTGATATTTTGATGTTCAACTCCCTTATTGACCTATATGGTAAATGTGGTCGAATGGACTTAGCATACAAAGTTTTTCTCGAGATGGAGGAAAGAAATGTATCATCCTGGACTTCTATGATCGTGGGTTATGCAATGCATGGGCTGGTAAGTGATGCTCTCGAATGCTTCCGTTGCATGAGAGAGGCTGCTGTGAGGCCTAATTTTGTGACCTTTGTTGGAGTACTTAGTGCTTGTGTACATGGAGGGATGGTGCAAGAGGGAAAATGTTATTTTGATATGATGCAGAAATTTTATGGAATAACACCTCGTTTACAGCATTATGGTTGCATGGCCGATCTGTTTGGTCGAGCTGGAATGTTTGATGAGGCTAAAGAAATGGTGGAAGGGATGCCAATGAAGGCGAATTCGATTATTTATGGATGTCTGTTGGGTGCTTGTGAGAAGCATGAGAACGTGGAAATTGGTGAATGGGTGGCTAAGCATTTGCAAGAGTTAGAACCGTGGAATGACGGGGTTTATGTGGTATTGTCCAATATCTATGCCAGCAAAGGTATGTGGAAAGAAGTGGAGGAAATGAGAGTGGTGATGAAGCAGAGAAGACTTGCTAAGCTTCCAGGTTATAGCTTGGCAACAAATTCAGAATGATAGTTGATAGACTGAAGTTCTCGGCGTTCATGGCTTTCGCAAATAATTGTTAGTTGATGGCACCCTGGAATTCTCAAAGTTTAGTTCTCGCAATCTTCACAAGTATCTTAATCTTCTTTGGAAAGCCATAGTGATGAAATTTTTTGTACGGTTTGGAGAAAAATCTTTTTTTTTCTCATTGCAAGAGCAACAATACAATATTGGCTAGCTGATTTTAGCCTAATTTAATAAGGAAACAGATTCATAAGCACATCTTGCTTAGGTACTGTATCATAAAAGAATGATTGGTTTTTTCAGATTTTCTCTTCCCGCAAAAAGCATAAAATGAGTCGATCACGTCGGATAAGAAGCTATGAAGGGACAGTGCATTGATGCTTCTAAGTATTGGCGTTCACAGTGCTAATAGTATGTGAGCTGCTTCATAGAAGGTGGAGACTGAAAATCTGATGAATTTAGTGGAGGAAAGCCGCAAGGTTTCTTTTTGCAGGTTTCCCATAGTTTCAGTCTGCTCTAGAGGACATTTTTTTTTGTCTCTTCTGGATTAACTGGTTCAATTATTTTATTTGCAGCTTTTTCAGATTAATTAATAGCAACTCACCTTTCGAGTCTGTTCTTTTATTATAAGCACCATTTGATATATTTTCTCACTATTATGGCTTTTAAGCTGCAATTAATTCCGATATTGCCTCTTTCTCGCAATGGAAAGAGAAAAGGTGAAGAGGGGGACATTAACTTCACTGACTTGCTGACTAGCTAAGAATGCTTGAATGAAGCACTTTTTCCAGATTCTTGCTTTATAGGATCTGAACACAGTGTCTGTTTTCTAGAGCCCCTTCTGTCAAATGAGTCATAATCCTCCTGGCACATCTGTTGGTCCCGATTTATAGTTAATTCATACCAGATGGTATCGGAAGAGGTACTTACAGCTCCCAGTAAGTTATCTTCCCTTTCAGACCGTTAATTCATATATTTGAAGGGATGACTAATCATAACTGACAAAATTCCTCCGATCACTTGGTTAACGGCCAGTTACCAAAGCTCCAATCACGCTATTACACATGTATATAAGTTGGAAAACACAGCTTTTGTATCAGAAGTGGCTTCTAGGCTCACACATTACTAGAAAAAGTTCTTCCCTCTCTGCAGAAGGACTAAAGTGTCTGTTGAATTGCCAAATAACATTGAAGGTCATGGAGCATTCAATTTCAGATTTGAATTCTTGTAAGTAGGGACGAAGTTAGTGTTTTACAAGTCAAGTTTCTTTTGTGAGGTGTTTTGTGGTAATGGAATAGAACAGTGACACTTGGGAAGGGACTGGAATTTTATTGCACAGGTGACTTTTTGCTGGTGGATACAAAAGGTGTGCAACTTGTTGAGCTGCGCTCTTTCACAGTTGCCCAATTTATTGAAAATATCCTATCACGCAGTGATTGTTGTATGCATGCAAGAAAGACACAAACACGGCAGGTAAGATTTATGCCCCTAGTGTTGATAGAGCAGCCTCTATTCTTTCTGCCATACCTTGGAGAGCAGAACCGTAGAACTCTGCCAAACCTTTCTCACTCCATCCTTCAATTGGATTTGCAACAAAGGACCAAGTTATATCGGTTGCATTTTTTGCGGCATCTTTCACTTGTGTGAGTTCAGTTGTTCCCACTAAAGATTTGAACCCCATCAAATTACTGTCCACGATCTCAAAGCTGAAGCTTTTGTCAACAGGATCAATAGCAAGCAGCTTCTCCAGAGCCCAGTTGGTGACCGCCTCCTCCGAAATGTCAGCGGAGATTTTCGTGACAGCAGCATATCGGATGCAGCCGGGCTGACCCGATACACCTTCAACTCCGTGGCATGTGTCTATCGTGGGGAGCCACTTGTGAAGGTTGAAGAAATCCTGCAGAAGCGGCCATATCTGGTCAGGACTAGAGCCTCTCACTCGGGCACTAACCTTTCCATCCCATCTTTTCTCTGCTTCACAGGCCATAATAACGCAGCTTCAGGCTTCAGCAATTAGCATTTAGCATTGTTGTCAGTGTATGAGAAAATCTGTAAGTGTTGGACAGTGCTCTTAGGTTGGCTTCAGTTGGTCAAATGGATGTATATGAGCGGGTGCTATAGTGTCCCATGAACACGTGAGATATAACTGAGAGCACTTCTTGTCAGTGTGTGAAGGAGCATATTCTGGAAGCGGCATGGGAATCATGTAATTGCCACATCGTTATTTAGTAGCTACCAAATATGGGAATTTGTTACCTTTTGCGAAAACTATGGACAGAAAACGCTATTGATTGCATTTTTTTCATGTTGGCGGTCCATTTTGATTTAGATGAATTATACCTCTGTCGTGAAGTAGCATCAGACGACCAGTCAAAAAGCAAATTGAAACTCCCCAAACTCAAGATCATATTGTTCATTTATGATCGGCTGTGAACAAATATGGATCTTGCTTAATCTTCTGCCAAAAAGAGAAACAAAAATTTGTTTATAAATGAAAAAATGCCTTCAGGATCCGTAAAATTTGACTTCTCTTTTGTCCTTATGTTAAAATCTTAACGTAACCAATTGGATTCACCTTTACTCAAAAGCTCAAGCCAATAAGTTACGAGTCAACTAAGATATATTAACTGCTGTACACCACATCAATTCTCCGATGTAGTATTTCTCTAACACAACTTTTACGTGCATCTAAACAGATGTTAGCATAGTCAACCCCTGTATCTGCCCCCACCAGCCACCCTAATCTTTTTTAATTTTAAATTTTTGTTGTCTAGCTTTCTTCCAATTTCAGATCTTCCTCAAATTATAAAATTTACTGATGTGGAGTACAAAACGACCAGCGACATAAAATTGAAAAAATAAATAACAAAGAAAAAGCCAAGTGTGCGTTTTTGTCCATCTAAGGCTAACCGAAGGACTATAGTGCACGAAACTGACAAACTTTAGAACTTACATTGCGATTTTCCCCTCACTAATTTTAACTATAGCTTGCTGAATATGCCTCTCATATCTTCGTACTCTCGGAATAGTTGCGCACAAGTGGCGCGGGGTTGGACTCTAGAAAACAAGGATGCCACCGCACTCTATATATTGTGGCATTAGTTACATCACTCTCAAGCGACACCTAATTGCTTATTAATAATCAAAGATATCATATATTCTGTCGAAATAATCATAAATCACAATCTTGACCCACTTGCTTTATCACAGCATAATCTCTATGGTAATATAAGATCACCTCCTACAACTTTCATTTCGTGCATTTGAGTCCTCAAACTCGTAACATTCTTATTCACTTCAGCCCTTCCGTCAAGTCCGTCGGTCTCTTACTTGGGCGGCAACCCTGACCTCTCATTTTTCTCTAGGATTTACTCTGAATATATTAGATATGCAGGCTGCAGCCTTCAGCAACCAGCAATGTAGCGACTGACTCTTGGGAGTTGTTAGCGGCCCTTCAGCATCTTCAGATACTGAAAGCATGGTTGTCAGGATGTGCATCGGAATATAGGCAAGGGAATCAACTATCCCGCCGAGTAGCGTTTTTTAAATCTTTAGTCGTCGTCAACTCTCTCCTGATATGCAGGCTTCAGCCATCAGCAACCAGTAATGAAGTAGCTGACTTGAGGGAGTTGTTAAAGGCACTTCATCAACTATCCCGCCAAGTAGTGTTCTTTAATCTGTAGTTGTTGTTGACCATCTCTCTCCCCAACAAGAAAGAAAGCACATCGGAGTATTGGGAAGCATGAAGCAGCCTAACCATGGTGGACTGATTCTGCAAAAGGGACGGTGTCCTGATGCTTCAACAACAATTGTTTTCATCATATGGAGATCAGCATATCAGCTGTTTCCTAGGTTGCAAGAATTCATGCTGGAGTTGTGCGTCGTCCCATTAAAAAACCTAACAAAAATGCTGACGTGACTGTTAAGCGTCATGGTCACTCTTAGGTGGCAGCCGTGTGGCTCCTATGGCTAGCAAAGAACTTAAAAATTTTGTAAGAAGTTGCATAGAAATTAGGAAAATAAACAGAAGACAAGGTGGTTAGAGGGTAGGGGAGTCCGGTGGCAGTCAGCGGCCGCTACAGAGGCAGCGCCACCCAGACCCCACAATGCACCGAGCGACACTCATCCATGGCCATTGCCACCTCTACCAGGAAGGTTGGCTCTTACAAGGCGAGGCAAGGCCCTCACTGGCCCTCACCAGAGGCCAGCTAGGGCTGCTGACCCTTGCAATGGCGGCAAGAGCCATGATCTCGCCCTGGTCTGGGGTGATGGTTGTGACCCTTGTTGGCCGGCCCGTATAGCTCGGCCGAGCGCCCTAGGATCACCATAGCGAGATATTAACGGTACGGTAAAAGGATGGATAGAATTTGTGCACCTGATTTGGATTCCATCGGCCTGGATGCGGAAATGACGATGAATCGGTGCCGTAGGTCTTCTCCCCTATCACCCCCGAAGTCCCGGCGCTATGAGACCGCCTCAGCCAACTCACGGAAGCCTTAGGTGAGTTTGAGAGCGTTTGAGAGAGACTGGAGAGAGTTGGGTGCAGAGGAGGGACCTGCAGCTCTATTTATAGAGTTTCTAACCAGGCCCTCTCATAACGGGTCGGGCCGAACTCGGCCCACACAAGCCGGGCCCATATCTGACCAATTAAGAAACCTTATATCCAAACTTATTAGACCAAACCCGCAAGCGGGTAATAACAATCTCAATTAATGTAACCCACATTAGGAAAACGTTACATTCTCCCACTTGGGCTATATTAATTGAAATCGTACCTTATGTGCACCTTTATTTGGTCTATGGATAATTCTTAATAGTCAATCCGATCCCATAAAGTTTCAAACACCGAATCATGGCGGTAACTGCATGTAATCACGTAGAGCCTTCTATGGTCACAAGTGTCTTAGACTTTACTGTTATGGATTCGATATGGTTGTGTGGCAAACGGATGACACCTCATAAAGAGTGATACCTTATATGTCATCCCCTTTGTCAATCCTCATTCTCTTTCCTTGAGTGTCACAAAAACCTGATGTGTCACTAGAGAATATCTTTATGGTTCCAATGAACCTACATACGTCTTATCCTTATTGTTAACATTACTTTTTGTGTAATAAGACATATCCTTAAGGCCAATAACTGAATGCCCATAGCCTTTACTCAAGGTTTACACAGTACCTTAAGATTTCACCTTATATGTGTATTTAACATGACAACAATGCATTCAGAAACACCTTATTGAATGCAAATGAGTTTATACACATCCAAAATGTACAAAGAGTAACAGAACACAGATGTAAACTTTATTAGAGCATAAATTAAAAAAACAGCTCCCACTAAACAACAGTATCCCATGATACTCCTAAGCCCATGCTAACGACATTTCGTTCAAAAATATAAGGGCGAAGGCCTTTAGTTAGTGGATCTGCTACTATATCATCTGTGGAAATGTGCTCTACTGTAATGTCACCATCCCTGACTTTTTCCTTTATAGTCAAGTACTTGACCTCCATATGCTTAGACCCCTTGAGACCTCTGTTGTTGTTAACAAACAACACTGCAGAGTTATTGTCACAATACAACTGTATGGGCTGATCCACAAAATCAAATACGGTCAACTCCCTAATGAGGTTCCGGAGCCGAATTGCCTGAGTAGCGACCGAAAAGCATGCTACAAACTCCGCTTGCATGGTAGAGGATGTCATTGATTTCTGTTTCTCACTTTTCCATGATACTGCACCTCTTGCTAACTTAAAGATGTAACCCGTTGTCGACTTCCTTTCATCCTGACAGCCAGCAAAGTCTGAATCCGAATATCCTACCAGCTATAGGTCTTGAACATGTATGTAGATCAGCATATAGTCTTTTGTCCTCTTTAAGTACCTCAAAACCTTCTTGGCAGCAACCCAATGATCGTGTCCTGGATTTGACTGATATCTGCCTAGAAGTCCTGTTGCAAAAGCAATGTCTGGCCTAGTGCAAACTTGAGCATACATGATACTTCCAAGTGCACTAGCATAAGGTACATCCTTCATTTGGGTTTTCTCAACATCCGTATGAGAACACTGTGACAGACTCAGTTTATCACCCTTTATGACAGGAGCAATTCCTGGCTTGCAGTCCTGCATACTGAATCTTTCCAGAATACGATTAACATATGTTCTCTGAGACAAACCCAATACTCGGCGAGAACGATCCCTATGGATCTCAATGCCTAGGACAAAAGACGCCTTATCAAGGTCCTTCATGTCAAAATCCTTTGACAACATTCGCTTTGTCTCATGTAGTAAACCAATATCACTACTCGCAAGCAATATGTCATCTACATAGAGTATGAGAAAAATAAATTTCCTCCCACTGACCTTGCTTTATATACACTGATCCAACTTGTTCTCAACAAAACCTAATGAAGTGACAACACTATGAAACTTCAAATACCATTGTCTAGAAGCTTGCTTAAGGCCATAAATAGATTTCTTCAATCTACACACAAGCTCACCTGAATCATCAGCTGCAAAACCTTCGGGTTGCACCATATAAACTTCCTTATCAAGGTCTCCATTTAAAAAGGCAGTCTTAACATCCATTTGGTGTAATTCCATATCAAAATGAGCTACCAATGCCATGATCACTCTGAAAGAATCCTTAGAAGATACTGGTGAAAAAGTTGTCTCATAGTCTACTCCTTCTTTCTGAGTGAAACCTTTGGCTACCAGTCTGGCTTTGAACTTCTCAATCTTTCCTTTGGAGTCTCTTTTAGTCTTATATACCCATTTGCAACCAATGGGCTTGTAACCTTTAGGCAATTCAACAAGCTCACAAACATCATTATATTTCATAGACTGAATCTCATCTTTCATTGCATCCACCCACATATCTGATTGAGGACAAGAAATTGCATCTGAATGAGTTACTGGATCAACCATGCAGCCTATATCGTAGTCATGCTCTCCCAGATAGATCATATAATCCGGTGGTATAGCCGATCGTCTCTGCCTGATAAATCTCCTGAGTGGAGCTACTACTTCCTCATCCTGCACCTGAGGGGTTTGAAGTACTTCATCAAGAGTTGTTTCAATAACAGGATCCTGGACCACAACAAGCTCAGTCTGTGGTGTATGGGTCTCCATTATCGTCTGTACAGGTAGAGAAATCCATATTATTATCCTCAATGGTCTGTGAGCAACTACCCTTTCTCGGCTATATCAAATTCTAGAAATTTCGCTGTCTGTGATTCAACAATTCTTGTGCCTCCATGGGGACTATAAAACCGATACCCCTTCGAATGATCTGGGTAAGATACGAAGTAACATCGAGTGGTTCTGGATTCTAACTTGCTCAATGTTGGATTGTATAACCTTACTTCTGCAGGACACCCCCAAACTTTAAGATGATTTAGGCTAGGTTTACGTCCAGTCCATAATTCAAAAGGAGTATTTGAAACAACCTTGGTAGGAACACGATTTAGAATGTAGAGAGCTGTTTTCAAGGCTTCACCCCATAGAAAATCAGGTAAGTTCGTCCTGCTAATCATACTCCTCATCATGTCCATAAGGGTGCGATTCCGTCTTTCGGCCACACCGTTTTGTTCAGGACTCCCGGGCATAGTAAATTGAGCCACTATTCCAGAATCTTCCAGGTATTTGGCAAATGGCCCTTTCAGCTGTCCAGTATCGCCATGCCTCCCATAATACTCACTACCTCGGTCAGACCTGACAACCTTTATGACTTTTCCCAGCTGTTTCTCGACTTTAGTCCGAAAAATCTTGAACTTGTCAAGAAACTCAGACTTCTCCTTAATCAAGAACAGATAACCATATCGGGAATAGTCGTCTGTAAATGTGATGAAATAGAAATTTCTACACAATGTTGCCGTATAGGGTCCACTGATGTCAGTGTGAATGACTTCCAACAGGTCAGAACTACGGACTGCGATTTTCTTCTTTATCTTGGTCATCTTACCCCTACAACAATCTACGCAAGTATCTAGGTCACTTTCAAGAGTAGGCAGGATGTTTGTCTTTATCAGCCTTTCCACTCTTTCCTTAGAAATGTAACCAAGTCGTTTATGCCACAATGCATAAGACTGTTCCTTAGGTAGAGGTCTTTTGGAAACAACCCTTTCAGCTGTATAAGCGACGTATATATCATTGGGAGATAAACACAATCTGTACAATCCATTCGATATGTTGCAGCACCCAACCTTATTTGAATCAAAGGACATAGAAACCACATTGTTCTTTATTTCAAAAGAGTAGCCACAAACATCCAAACTTGATACGGAAACTAAGTTCCGTCTGAAGGAAGGCACATAAAAGGTGTTTCTTAACATCATATTAAAACCAGAATCCAAAATTAATATGACATCTCCCACGAACTCGACGTCGACTCTCTTGTTGTTTCCTACAGTGAGCTTTAATTCATCCTGATTTGGCTTCCTTCTGTTTGTGAATCCCTGACTGCTCACGCTTGGACAACCAAGCTTTATATCTATTGCAGTCTTTCTTCATGTGACCCTTCCTCCTACAAAAGTAGCAGTGAACACCATTCTTCTTCAAGAGTGTTTTCTCAGGACCCAGATTGTCTAAATGACCGGTGGTTTCAGGAGTTCCTTTCTGAGTACGATTCTTGAACTTACTACTCTTCCTGCTACTGGAACTAGAGGCATAGAAAGCAAGATTCCCTTTATCTTTCTTCAGTTTCTCTTCCTCTGTCACAACCCTAACTATCAGGTCATTGACCAACCACTTTTCATCTTGGGAATTATAGTTGGTCTTTATAATTCCAAACTCAGTAGGAAGGGTGTTCAGGGCTTGATGCACAATGAAGGCATCAGAAAGGATAATCTCATGAACCTTTAGTTTTGTCTAGAGGTCTACCATCCTAACGACGTAATCCCTAACCCCACTTGAACCATCATACCTCATATTATTGAGTAACTGCATGTATGTCCCAGCCTCAGCATTAGACGAGTCACGGTTCCTTACTTGCAAGGTTTCCATCATTTCTTTAGCAGTGCAGTCAGCTGGCAAACTACTCTTCAAGTGGTCCTTAATGGATCGCTTCATCAGTAACAAGCAAATCCTATTGCTCTTTTCCCAGGCGGCACTCAGTACCTTTTCCATGTATGTACTTTCAGCAGTGACATCTGCTGGCTTATCCTCAGTAAGAGCAATATGAATATCTGCCAGCTCCATACCAAACAGTAAATCCTCTTTCCATTTCTTAAAGTTTGAAAAGGTGACTGTTAAAAACAAGCAATGTCTATAATCAGCATCATGTGAGTACTTTCATGAGAGTTACACACACCATCATATAATCACCTTTGGGCAGAATACATGACATGCAATTGTATACCCTCTACATGACAACGGCCATGAGAATGTATTCCAATCTTTTATGAATTCACCACCTTTGGGTGTATGAACCACTAGGATCAGTCATTCCTCATGCATGTTGTACATGCATCCCTCCATGAACCAATACATAATCACCTCCTTTGGGAGTATGACAACACATTAGAACATGAGACATCCTAACAATACGAGACTGATATTTCTCAAACTCAATCAAGTGTGCCACTTTGGCGGTCACTACCAAATTGAATCATTGAAACTCTCTCATACTAAGGATATAAACTTTATGTCTCACATATACTATATAATGTAATTCTAGACTGGAAGACATGGGCAATGTCTCTAAAATTACATACCATGCTAATTACATTGCTCTATACATTGATATATGTCGAACCTTATACATACTATCAATGAAACATGATCTACACGTCTTTAAGTCATCATATACATGTAAGCTTTAATCTGTATCTCTTAAACCATAGAGAAATACAGGAAAATATACCCTAAAAATACCCGTATATAGGGTTCCATATGTATTTTCACATCCTTAAAAGTATCAAACATGTAAAATAAATATACCACAGTGTAGATAATCCTTATACGAGCACGCTGGTACCTTGCACGCTCCAATCGGAGCTCGGACGCGCCCTCACGCGCCTCCTGAAGGTGCGGCGCGTGGGCATCACGCGCCGGCGCCTGAGCCGGCCAAAAAGGCCGGTCCGACCGTCGACCGGCCCGACCGGTCTGACCGCCGACCGGTCTGACCGCTTACCGGTCCGACCGGTTGACCGGTTCGGTCAACGGGTCAGATCCGAGTCAGGTCAATCCCCGGGTCGGGTCTGGGTTGGGTCCGGAGTCGGGTCGGGTCAGCCGGATCGACCCGGCTCGCGGAAACCCTAGCGCGTGCGTTGCACGCGCCTGGGAACACCCGCGCGTGGCCGCGCGTGTGCCGCCGGGGCTCTCCGATGCCCCGGCGCGTGGCGGCGCGTGCGGCCACTCCCGGCGGCCCCTGGTGGCCGGCGACCACTCATTTTTCTCGTCTCGCGACGATCTATCCATCTATGTGATTTATTCTAACATTCGACGGATGAAAAAATCAAAACCACATACGAACAGTACCGGCCCGTTTCTCGACTATGGCGGCTCTGATACCACATGTTGGCCGGCCCGTATGGCTCGGCCGAGCGCCCTAGGATCACCATATCGAGATATTAACGGTACGGTAAAAGGATTGATAGAATTTGTGCACCTGATTTGGATTCCATCGGCCTGGATGCGGAAATGACGATGAACCGGTGCCGTAGGTCTTCTCCCCTGTCACCCCCAAAGTCCCGGTACTATGAGACCTCCTCAGCCAACTCACGGAAGCCTTAGGTGAGTTTGAGAGCATTTGAGAGAGATTGGAGAGAGTTGGGTGCAGAGGAGGGACCTGCAGCTCTATTTATAGAGTTTCCAGCCAGGCCCTCTCATAACAGGCCGGGCCGAACTCGGCCCACACAAGCCGGGCCCATATCTGACCAATTAAGAAACCTTATATCCAAACTTATTAGACCAAACCCGCAAACGGGTAATAACAATCTCAATTAATGTAGCCCACATTAGGAAAACGTTACAACCCTCGCCTTTTATCTACAGCGAGCAAAGGTCCCTGGCCCAGATCGATTAATTTCCAGAAATTAGTCCGGTGAGAAAGAGAAAAGCATGGGGAAGAGGAGAGCGTCGAATGGATGCTTTGAGCAACACTGGCAGCGGACTCAAGCACGATCACTTTGTAGAACCCTCCGGTATCATGCATGTCTACTAATCAGAGAGATCAGGAACAGTTAGCTTGAAAGTCTTCCCTCGAGTTCATTTTCTCTCTGGGACGTTACAATTCCCATCTCTGTGTGCATGTGATGCAATTCTCTTCTCTAAAACAGCTGTGAAGCTATCAATTAGGATCTAATCTTGTCCATTCTTTGCATTTAGGTTCTAATGAAAATAGATACTTGGAGCTGCCATACGATGTCTAGTGCTGTCTAAACATAGTTTTCTCTTTGCCTTCTTTGGTTATTTTCTCACTTTGCTTCCCTCCATTTACTTATTCAAAGTCATGACATCCACTTCTGCCTACATTTTACTCTGGTCTGCTTGTTAGCGGTGAGATTCAACAGCTAACACACCATACGTGATCAGGCTTTTATACAGTTTTTCTTTTTTGAGCTAACCCACCATAAAGCAGAGACACCTCGATTTGCATGCTCCACCCAAAACAGCATCTAAAGATGGAAAAATGAGGATAGATGCAACTCAAATGCTCTACTTGAACATGCATACTTGAATACGACTATTATGCACTTGTTTAAGTTGGATACACCGTTTTCACGGATCTTCTTGGTCTGGTCTCTGGTATTGTAGCCCCATTCATCCAAAATATCAGATCACGCTGTGATTGTTACTATTGCAGGCATCAATCCAGTAGGATGACACCACAAGGTAAACAAAAAATAGATCAAGAATTATTCCCCATTGCTCGATAGAGCAGCTTCTATTCTTTCAGCCATGACTCGAACAGCAGAATTGTAGAACTCCGTCAAATCTTTCACCGTCCATCCTTCAATCGGATTCACTGCGAAAGACCAGCTCATTCCACATCCATCTTCTTCTTCTACATCTCTCACTGCCGTCAGTTTCATTGTGGCAACCAAATATTTGAACCCGACGGTATTGCAGTCCACGATCTCATAGCTGAAGCTTTTGTCGACAGGGTCAGTTGCAAGCAGCTTCTCCATAGCCCAGTTCATGACCAAATCCTCCAAACTGTCGGCGGACCTTCTTGTGACGGAGCAGTATCGGATGCACCCAGGCTGACCCGATACACCTTCGGCTCCGTAGCACGTGTCTCTCGTGGGGACCCATTTGTGCAGGCTGAAGAAATCCTCCAGGAGGGGCCATACCTGGTCAGGACTAGAGCCTCTCACAAGGGCACTAACCCTTCCTTCCCATTTTTCCTCTGCTTCACTGGACAGAGCAATGCAGGCTTCAGGCTTCAGCAATTAGCATTCAGCTGTAGTGGAACAACATTGAAATAGGGAGACCTTTAGTTGTCAGGGTATGCGAAGGCATAAGCTTGGATTGTCATGGGAATCAATGTGTTGGACAATGCTCTTAGGTTGACTTCAATTGGTCAGTGGATGTATATGGGTCAGGTGCTATGGGGGCACATAAACATGTTGAAATACCGAAAGCATTTCTTGTCAGTGTGTGAAGAGGCACAAGCTGGAAGTGGCATGGGAATTAGGGGTGAGCATGGTTTCAGGTTCTACCCTAAAACCTGAAAATCTGATCGGGGGGAACCTGTAGATTTCAAGTTCCAAAGTATGTAGAGTAGGTTCCAAGTTCCAAAAATTGGGAAATCTGGTTCGACGGGTAGGTTCCAGGTTCTAGGTAGGTGGAACTTGAAACCTGGAACCCAAAACCTAAACAAATTTTTTGTGTTTTTTCTTGATCTATGTCTTCACATGATCCTGTGGTATTTTATGACATTAGATAGTGAGTATATAATCTAGAACTACTAGTCTGAACTTTCATTTCATGACTTGTTAATTTTTCATATTCTTTGTGTGTCTAAGTATAAGTTGTGATCAATGGATTATAGTAGCAAATTGTGGTCATTAAAGGTGATGATTTATTGAAATTGTTCAATTAATAATATATGTGGAACCTAGGTAGACCTTGGAACCAACCTGGAACTTGTGATACGATAAGTTTCAGATTCCAAAAAAAAAGGAACCTATTCTCATGGGTAGGTTCCAGGTGGAACCTGTACGGAATATGGAACCATTCACCCCTAATATCGATTCATGCAATGACTTCTCATTTTAATTGTATTTATTTGAACCATAATGCCAGAAAAACTAATCTTTTGTATTCTCTTTGGTGAATGACGAGCTTGTTTAGTATTGTTGCATTCATTTTTGTTTTGTTTAACTAAAAATGAAATAAATAAATAAATAAGAACTTGTTAGACCCCGTAACCTACCCTGAAACCTGTGACAGGGTAAGTTTCAAGTTCTAGGTTCCGATGGATAGGTTCCAAAAATTGAGGAACTTGTATCCGAGGGTAGGCTCCAGGTTCCAAGTGGAAAATGTAAGGAACCTGGAACTGCTCACTCCTAATGAGAATCAAGTAGGCTCTCTCTCTATTATAGTCTTGGCCTTGAGCAGTGCACGGGCATCTATCTGGTTTGATATTATTAGAATCTTTGGAAGTCTTACCCGATTATGACACTTGTCTATTTAGAAGGTGGTATTCATGGACTGATTCTTTGATCAATGTTAAGGCCAAAATTTATCCTTTTCCATAAAATCTTACTCAAAACTGAGATGCCGACGCACATGAAAATCAAGCATTGTTCACATCCTTCATCTTTAAAATGTCAATGAGACATGTATGATTGCATCATAATTCATCATAGGTTGTTATAAACTTAAAAAGATCCATGCAATGTCTTGCAATTCGCGTGCACGGAATCCTCTATAGTTATTGCAACCTTTCACGTGAAATTCTAATGCGGACTAATGAAATGTATGTGAATCTCTTGCTTAGGATAATTGCAGTGCTAGTCTTGCAACTTATCAATTCTTGATTTCAGTCCTAAAACTTTCATTTTGTGCATTCGAATTCAAAACTTATACCTTTTGTCCACTTTAGCCGTTTTGTCAAATCCGATAGTTTCAAGTGGACAAAAATACACATGTGACTTTTTTTGTTATTAATTGTTAACCCAATGTGGTTTTCTTTTATAATTCTTTTTTAAAGTTTGAAGGCAAAATTGTGTCCTTTTGTTGATTCTACGTTATCGATTTCCGACTAAAATTGATCGGATGGACTCAATTGGCAAAACGTGAAAATATTTAGGACTCAATTAGTAAAATTAAAAGATTTATGACTAAATTAGTAAAACTACAATAGGTTTAGGACTTTTTGGATAATTTTCCCCTCATGATATCCAAACACACTTCCACAAATGGGAGCACATGGCTATTTATAGGCTTAAAGGAAGTGATCCTACCTCCTATATATTTCTAGATCAATATCTTCCGTAGAAATTTTTTTGTTTGATGATTTTCACTTTTAGATCTTCCTAGAAATATTTTCCAATATAATTATAGAAAAAATTAGATGTGGATACACTACAAAAAAACAAGGATTTAGCCACGGAAATTAGCACGAAATTTTTCGTCGCTAATTTTTTTTCGTCGCTAATTTCCGACGAAAATTTGCAAATTTGCGACGAATTTTGCGATGGAAAAAAATCCATGGCTAATTTGCGACGGAATTTGCCACGAAAAAATTCGTGGCTAATTTGCGACGGAATTAGCGACGAATTTTTTTTCCGTTGCTAATTTGTGACGAAAAAAAAGTCGTGGCTAATTTGCGACGGAATTTGCCACAAAAAAAAATTCGTCGCTAATTTGCGATGGAATTTGCCACGAAAAAAATTCGTCGCTAATTTGCAACGGAATTTGCGACGAAAAAGTATTCGTTGCTAATTTGCGACGGAGTTAGTGACTTATTTTTTTTCGTCGCTAATTTTGCGACGTAATTTACAACGAAAAATAAATTTGTCGCTAATATATGTATTGCGTGTCAAATATTTACTAATATATAAATGTAAATTGTTAATAGGATTTTTCAAACTTCAATGTATGAACTACCACCAAATGAGTTGGACCGTTTGTGCGATGAACAATTTGCAGCATGGTTCAAAACATATGTAAGTTGCCTATAGACCAAAATCAAGTTATTAATATTTTATACATCATTTAAATATATATTATTGACTTTGCGTGTGTGACCTTAGGTTCATAGTAATCATGATCAAGTTGAAGAGCAAGGATTGCTATATTATCTATCATGGGGTCCAAAGTCAAGAGTACGAACTTAGCCAGCATATTTCATAAACAGGTATAATTTTCACACTCAAGAATATGGAATGGGAAAAGCCACAATGAATAGTGGTGTGTGTGTTCGGTCATCCAATGATGGCAGTTCAAAAGATGATTTGTATGGCTTGTTGGATGAAATCATGGAGATAGAGTACCAAGGACCATTAATGCGGGTTGTGTTATTTAAGTGCACGTGGTTCGACCCCGTCAAAGGAATGAAGGTGCATACGAAGTTTAATTTGGTTGAAATAAATCACAAGAAAAGGTATATGAAATATGAAACATTTGTGTTGGCACAACAAGCAATTCAAGTATATTATGCATCATATTCTAGTTTGAAACGTGACAAAGCTGATTGGTTGGCTGTATGTAAAATCAAAGCACAAAGAAAAATCGAGGAACACTGGAAGGATACAACATATCAACAAGAGGAAGTTTGTAACACGGTTCAAACTGAGGAATATAACATTGCAACTCTACGAGATCCATGTGGAGCAATGATAGATGTAGATCTAACTGAAATTCGCGAATCAAATTTAGAATGTGTTGCAGAATCCGATTTTGAGACAGATGATGATGATGATGATGACGACGACGACGATGATGCTCAAGAAGAAGATGAAGATCAAGATGAAGACGAAGGTGAAGATGAAGATTTAGATTTTTGAGACTTTTTACTAATTATGTCGTAATTATTATTATTATTATTATGACAAGAGTTTATTGTTGTTGTCATATTTATTATTATTGTTGTTGTCGTAATTATTAGTATTGTTGTTGTTGTTGTTATTATTATTATTGTTGTTGTTGTTGTTGTTGTTGTTGATTATTATTATTATTATTGCAATTATTGTTATTGAAACGTTATTGTCGGGAAAAAAAATGAATTAGGCGTGTGTGGGCTAGTAGAAATGAAATTCGTGGCTAAATCCGTGGCAAATTTGCCACGGATTTTAGCCATGAATTTCATGAAAATGCCCACAAACATGTCTAAGTAATTTTTTCATGAAATTCGTGGCTAAAATCCGTGGCAAATTTACCACGGATTTTAGCCACGAATTTTTAAAAAAAATGCCCATACATACACATGCCTACGTTCGTTTTTTATGAAATTCGTGGCTAAAATCCGTGGCAAATCCCTCTCCTTCGTCTCCTTCGTTTTCAAATCTAGGCTAGGGCTTTTCCCGGCCTCGCTCCACCTCCCCCATTCCTCACCCGCTTCCGGTGCCGGCGGAGCCGAAATCGCTCTGGTTTCCTTCGCTCGAGACGACCTCCTTCGGCCGCTGCTCCACCCCCCCTTCGTCGCCCGCTTCCGGTGCCGGCGGAGCCGAAATCGCTCCAATTTCGTTCGTTCGGGACGACCTCCTCCGGTCGCTGCTCCACCTCCCCCATTCCTCGCCTGCTTCCGATGCCGGCGGAGCCGAAATTGCTCCGGTTTCCTTCGCCCGGGAAGACCTCCTCCGGCCGCTGCTCCTTTCAGAGTCCGTCCTCGTTTCTTTCCTCTTCTTTCCCCTTTGTCTGGACCGCGATTCTGGGGCGAATTTCGAGCCAGCATCAGCTCAGGTTAGTTGGCTTGTACCTGCTGTTTGCGCATTTTCCCGCGTTGCGTTGGTCGTGATGGTTGGGATATGTAACCCGTCTGCAATTGGCTTCGACCTCAGTGATCATCGGTCGGCCTTGTTCTTCGTTTCTTGCTGTTTGAGCTCGATGTGGCGGTCGTGTCATCGAATTGGGGCTACTTTAGCTGGAAATGAGCAAGTCTGGAACATGTGCCACTTTCTTATTATCTTCATCCTTCTCTTCTAGCGTAAGCTGCTCGGTTAATTCTTTTATATTCACAGAACTCCAGCAATTTCAGCTTGGTGAGGTGCTTGATTCCTGATGGCATAGTCTTCAACTATTTGCATCGCTGGATGATCAATTTCTCCAGCTTAGACATCGCTTCCTTCTCTATCTGTACAAATGTCAGCTTCTCAAAATGATCAAGACCTAATATCTTGAGCTTTTGAAACCCTTTAGCCTCGAAGCATAGTGTTTGCCAATCATAAAGCTTTTGAACAGATTGTTGGTTCTGTCATCATCCGCATCTATGTAGTAAAGCTTTTGTACAGATTGAAGAGCTCCGATTTGTGCTGGGGTGCTGAAGCCATATTTGTAGTGCGTATAGGATAGTGACGAGTTTTTGGTCCAGGGATACTAAACATTTGTAGTCGAATGAAAATGTTTTGATAAAGCCTTTTAATAGCACTTCCATGCTTCACTGTTTGTTAATATTGTGGCAAGGATATTTTCCTGCTTATTTGGAGACCATTACTTGATCAATTCTGAGCTTAGCTTAGGGTTGTGGCAAGGAGTGTCATGTTCTATGGAGGTGGAATTTTGTAGGCTGACCTTGTTGAACGGATTCTGAGCTTAGCTTAGGGTCCATCCTTTGTCACTACAAGTTCATATGTACTACCAATTAAGCTATCAATTAGGGCCATATGAAAGATATCCTGTACCAATTGACACAAATGTTAGGTCAGTATGCCTTTTTCTTGCATAGAATTTTGTGTGAAAATTTTGACGAGGCTGCCATTGGGTAAGTTTATATTATGCTGCATTCATTTTTTGCGAATCTTTTACAGCGGTTGAATGAACGGATTCCTCTGGCTAAGTGAGAGGAATGTACTGACCAATGTAATTCCTTCGCCTATCCATGGATTGGAGGATATTGTCAACAATCAAGTATAGTAAGTTTCTTATTTGCTTTTGTAATTCTTGGGCGACAAACTTGAATCATTCACAAGCCCTGTTGCTTTACAGTAATGTTACTTATCTCAATCCTGCAAAGCACAAGCACATCCCCAGACCACCTGCTGGTGTTGTCATTCCTCCAAAGGTACATGATGCTCTTACTGGTTCATATATGTTAATCTAAAAGCAAATATTTGTATTTTGTTCTCAATGTATACAATATAATTGGAAAAACGTTATGTGCATTATGTAGGGCTTTGTGTTTGATGTTACATGAGGCCTTTTCCCTTTCAACATTTCTATGAAATATCAATACGGTTGAAAGCGCGGATTATTTCATATAGGAGAACCTTTTTCAAATTACTGTTTAGGTCTCTTTATATTGGATGTCGTGACAAGAAAATGGATGGCTCACTTGTTCACTTTTATAGGTTTTAGGACCTTTGGATAACAAGCCATTCCCTGTGTTATGGCATGAAGATAACAGTGGTAGGCGCCAGAATGGAAGAGAAAGGTGAGAATGAATTCTAATGGTCTTGCTGTCTTGATTGATGTCTCTGTCCGTTTGTTTTGTATTTCTGCTGCTGCATTGGTGGTTTGTATCAATTTAGAGGCTTGTGGTGCAATAGATTTTGCAGTTGAGAATGAACTTGAAACCAGGAACATTTGGAATAAAATTTTGGTTACTCCTGCAGGCTATTGAGTGTGTTTGTGGAATCTTTGGAGATCGTTTTCCCCTGTTGTTTCTGTTTAGAGACGCTTCTTTCTTTTCTCTCCCCATCTAAATGCAGTGCTTGTAATCTTGCAGGCCATCAGTACCTGGAGCAATGGTCGGTCCAATGCTGGGAGAAGCAGCTCATCGTCTTGTCAAGAGTACACTAAATATCAAGTTGAACAACAATCAATCCTCTGGCATCTTGGAACCACCACGCAATCGAAACTTTCCAGGATATTATGCAGTTAATAGACCAAGACCAGCTGCTCCCTCTGGGTACGAAAGGGGCTTCAGTGAAGATACCCACCAGCACCATGGGAATCACAACTACACTATTATTTGAAGTCAGTTTAGATTAGGGGAGGGATTGTTTATATTGAAACTCCATTATTGTAGATTCTCTTTGGAGCTGCAATGTTAAATATATATTTTAGCAATTAATTTTGCTGCTAATTAGATTTAAAATCGAAATCGTCCCTAAACAATATTCGTCGCAAACTTACTGACTAAAAAAAAAAAAAATCCTCGCAAATTAGCGATTGTCACAAATAGATTTCGTCGCAATTTAACGACGCAAAAAAAAAATTTCTTGGCAAATTAGCAATGAATTTTGCCACGAAAATAGTTCGTGGCAAATTAGCAACGAATTTTGCCACGAATAATTAGCCATGAATTTTGCCACGAATTTTTTTTCGTCGCAATTTAGCCACGAAAATTGCCACGAATAATTAGCGACGAATTTTGCCACGAATTTTTTTCGTGGCTAATTAGCAACGAAAATTGAAATTTTTCGTGGCTAAATTTTGCGACGCCGAATTAGCGACGAAATTTTTTTCGTCGCTAATTTCGTCGCAAATTCTTTTAGCCACGAATTTTGCCAAATTTTTCATGGCAAAATTCGTGGCTAAAACCTTGTTTTTTTGTAGTGAAATTAGCGACGAATTTTGCCACGAATATAGTTCGTGGCAAATTAGCCACGAATTTTGCCACGAACTATATTCGTGGCAAATTAGCCACGAATTTTGCCACGAATAATTAGCGACGAATTTTTTTTCGTTGCAAATTAGCCACGAATTTTGCCACGAATAATTTGCGACGAATTTTGCGACAATTTTTTTTTCGTCGCAAATTAGCCACGAAAATTGAAATTTTCCGTCGCAAAATTTTGCGACGGCCTATTAGCGATGAATTTTTTTCCGTCGCTAATTTCGTCGCAAATTCGTTTAGCGACGAATTTTGCCAAATTTTTCGTGGCAAAATTCGTCGCTAAAACTAACTTTTTTTGTAGTGATAATCTATTAGCTACTCATCTCTACACGAGAATATCTTGATATCTATCCTAGAATAATCTAGATTTCTTGGAGAAGATGGGCGGTGCATCTTTTTCTTCAACATAAGTTAATAAAAAATGATACAGAAAAATGCATCTAGATCTTTAATGAATTTCCACTTCTGTTGCACTTGAGCCCAGGATTAGCGTGCAGATGCGAATTCAATCCGTGACCCTCGTTTTAATCGAGAGCTGGTCACAATTCCTTCATCGGATCAAGATGAATCACAATGTGGTTATCCGAAATTAGCTCGAAGTATATGTAAGTGGAACGTGGAGGTACAAGAGGATGCTCTAAATCCAATGCGAATGGGGAATAATGACCAAACTTGCGAATTATTGTGGAAATATTAGAGAGCTAATACGTACTACTGCCCAGACTTTCACTACTCTTGCACACCGCATCACACAGCTTCAAGACTATCACATGAGCACGAAAGCAGATCATCAGATTCAGAGGACATCAGTTCGTGAATCCAATCACTTTGCTTGACCAAGAAGAGCCTCCTCCATCCTCTCGGCCATGACCCGCAAGCCCGACCCGATGAACTGGTCCAAGTCCTCGGGTTTCCAGCAGTCCACGGGCTCGACCTCGTAGCTCCACACGATGCGACACCCGTCTTCCTTAGGCACGACTTGGACCGTAGAGACGTATGAGTTGAACCCGGCATTGCCGTCTACGATGCTATAGCTGAATATCTTCACAGCCGGGTCGATCGACAGCAGCTTCTGCTTCGTCCAATTCAGGGTTGTCGTCTCGGTGTCGCCAACGTCCCGGTCAACCGGGGTCCTGAACCCGGCGCAGTAGCGGACGCACCAGGGCTGGCCGGAGTTGCCCTCGACGGGGGTGCAAGTGGCGAGGGTCGGGAACCACTTGGCGAGGCCTAAGAAGTCCTCCAAGAAGGGCCATATTTGGTCTGCCTTTGGACCTGCCAAGTCCGCACAAGCTTGGCCCTGCCATTTTGGTTGGTTTTGGACCTTTTGGTTCATGTGAGAAGTCGCATGATCAATGTTTGCGGATTCCATGTTGAAGAATGCCAAACTAATGCGAGGTGCAAGTGGATCTGGTTCAACAAAATGGTGAGAGAGAGAGAGAGATGAAGGCAAATTAGGCTTGTGTTCTTGAGCTACAGACATGAAGGTGTATGTATAGGGTGAGAGAAAGTATGTCTTTCGGAGAAAGCATGTTTTCCGTGTGCTCGTACACCGCATCGTAATTAATTACATCGCTTACGTGATGAAAGAAATCAATCACTTTCAAACAACACGTAATCCCTTATTAATCACCAAGGAAATGAAATATCCGGCTGGAATCATCAAGAATCACAATCTCAACCGATTTGCTTTGTCATAACTTATACCATGACGATTCCAATATAGCTAACCCATGCTGCATGAGAGATCTGAGGCGATGATATGTGGCACGTACATTAGATACCTAAGAGATGATTTCCCCATTCTTTGCCTCACATGTCTATTGAAGATCGGTTAAGATTACCGGTTTATCTTTCCTATTCCAAATCATGTAGATCAGAATATAACGTATCATATGGTAGATAGATTTAAACATAAATAATAATAGTGCCTTATATTTGCTGACTTGCTTAGCCAAAAGGAATCCTACATAATCTGAATTCACTAGTGCTTCCTGCTAAAATATTAACTAGTGTTAATTGCGTTGGTTGGCATGCTGAGTATATACTAAAATTAGTTTCCAAATTTCTATCATAAGATCATGTTCGTGTTGAATATGAGCACTTGTTGCCAGACTTCATCATAGTGTCGCGCGATGGGTCCTAGTCCGAGAGAGAACTGTGAGAGCAACACCATCTGTTTGTGCTTGACATGAATCGCGTGTTCTTTGGTTGAAAACGAGAAGGAGCTTCTGGCAAATTTGAAGAGCAAGTCATGATGGGACACTAATTTCGGAAATGCTAATTATTTCTAAGTAAACCATCTACTTAATTAATTTGAATAACCAAACTTAAAGCTACAAGCACGGCTCATTGGATGAGAGTGGGATATTTTCCTTCCAACGGCGTGTTTGTCTAAGTGAGAATTTTTCGCGAATTAATTTTCTGGATTGTCACGTGTTTAGTTTGTTGAAAATGATAAGTCAAGGGAAAATCATTTACGGTCAAAAAAGATATGCATGCTTAAAGTTAAGGAAATGAATTCTTTAACATGAAAAAAGAAAAATATTTTTTCAAAAAGTATTTTTTTTTATCATAAAATTTATCTCCAAACAAACACACCTTAAGATTGGAAATTACATTAACATCACATGATTCTATTTACATCTCATATGTACATTTTCTCAACACCTAATCGCGCCAAGAGGCAATTGATCTTGTGCAAAACCTAATCTCCCTTTTTCCCCACCTAAAACCTAATCTTCCTCGTTTAAAGAAAACAACAAGAAAGCAAGCCCTATAAATCTAATCTACGAAAGAAGAAAATGTTTGGTGGTAGTTTTCTATGTACTAACTTGCATCTCAGACCTCATTTTACTTTTAAATTATGTGCCTAATCTTAGGATAGTGGTTTTTAGCAAATAAATAAAAAATAATATTTTTTTGGGTAGTGGTTTATCGATTCAATTGGGATTTGAGATTGACATAGTATCACAATTTAGTTATCTTTTTTTTCTATTAGTCTTAATTAGCATCTGAATTTAATTTTAGCTATCTTCCTCATTATAATTTAAGTATGAATATTCTAATTCCGCAACAAGTTCTCCCTTTTTTATATCTTAGTCGTGTAGTTAGGTACAATGCCCCGTTAGATCTGACTATTAACCCTACATTTAAGCCCGTTATTGGTACGTAGGATTGAGTTTGGTGTAGTTTTCTCTAGGTCATGATTTTACTTATTGCTTTGATCGTCTTGGTTTAATGCATTTCCTTTTTTTGTAGTAGTCTATTTTTGGGTGCAACCTACTAATTGTACAAGGCTTTTTTTAATGTAAAATCTTATAATACTTATTATTATGTTTTTTAATTTACGCATCAACTATTAATTTAGGACTGAATTAGTATCCGTACAATGGATTTAGCACCGATTGGACAATTTCTCCGAATTAAGACCATCTTACATCCTATTTTTTGTCAAATTGATAGGTTGTCATGGGATGACTGTGCATCGGTGTTCATACAAGAGTCCAGTTAGATTCCAATAGCTTCCTGAAAAAGACGGGACACAAGTAATCCAATCGAGACCACATGAAAAACAATCGATATCATATGTTAAACCTGTATTCAAAATCCCTTTCACTCATGTTCCTAGTGTGGTTGCATATTGCCTTAGCCTTAGAAAGAGATGATAATATAAATAGTCCCCGAATTTTGGTACAATCTATGATGTCGTCTCTAAACTTTTAATTTATGTAATATGATCCCTAAACTTTGACCCAATATTCAAAATGTGATCCTTGAGCTATTGATTAAATGTTCAATGTAGTCATTCCGTTTATTTCAGTTTCAAATAGTTTAAAGATTAAATTGAAAATATACCAATAGTTCATAAGTTGGTTAATGACCCATTTTGACAGCTCTAAGTCCAAGAACGACATTGCACATTGGGACAAAATTCATGAACCACATTTTATAAATTAAATATTCATGGACGACATTGCATATTACACTAAAGTTGATGAATCAATTTTAGGAAAAATATTTTTTAAATTATTAATTTTTCGGGAAACAAACGAAGCTTAAATTCAAGTCCAACTTTAGTATATCCCCCTTTTCAATGTGATTTTGGTAAATCATTAATGAAGTAAATCAGATAAAACCGTTGTACAATGATCATATCACATGACATCTTGGCACAGTGTTATCCACTGAGTAAGAAATGTCGTCTTCAATACTTGTTCGAAAATCGCATAAACTAAGACAGTTGAAGGTGGCACACATCACGTCATTACTTTGTTCACATGCTATAAACGTTTTTATAAAGCGAAGAGCACTAGGCACGGTTTTGTGGAACGAGGAGGAGAAGGTGCGATGTTGTTTTGTGTGATCGAGAGTAAGCCTTTTGTCCATTCGAAGCCACCTTTCTAGCTATTATCACTGTTCTATATGGTGCAAATGGAAAAGAGGTGATTGA